CCATGAGAAAGAAGGAAATCCTGCCATTTATGACAACATGGATGGACCTTGACAGCAGACTAAGTGAAATAAGTCAGACAGAAAGACAAATACTGTATGATCTCACTTGTATGTGGAGTCTAAAAAGCCTAACTCATAGAAACAGAGAGTAGGATGGTGGTTACAAGGGGCTAGGTGGGGTGGGGGTGGGGGGGGTGATGAGGAGATGTTAGTCAAAGCGTACAAACTTCCAGTTATAAGACAAATTCTGGGGATATGATGAACAGCATGGTGATTACAGTTAACAATACTGTATTATATACTTGAAAGTTGCTAAGAGAGTAGATCTTAAATGTTCTCACCACAAAAAGGAAATGATACTTATGTCACATGATGGAGTTGTTAGCTACCACTATGGTGGTAATTGTTTTACAATATATGGGTTTTAAATCAACACGTTGTACACCTTAAAAACTTACTCAATGTTATATATCATATCTTAGAACTGGAAAAATAGATGAAAGAAAATAAAATAGTCAAATCATAGTGAACTAGATGATAGAAGTAAAGGTGGGATGAGGGAGGGAGGGCATGTGATAGAGTACCAACAGATTTGAGGTGAAACCCACTGAATAGAATATTTTGTGTTAGGGTCAAGCATAGAAGAAAAAGTAAAATCAAAGCTGATCTGCAGAATTTTATTATTTTCTCTTAAAAAGAAATGTGTTTGTTGTCTCCAGTTTTCTTTGGCTCTTAAAAATGGAACCAAGCAGATTTTAAACCAGTCGTTGTCTCTAAAATATCCGAGAACATGATATGCCCATGTTGCCTTTGATAGCCCTAACTTTGTTGGTAGGCCGGCTTGCTTGAGGATGGGTCTGCCGTTTGTGAATTTTGCATTTTTAAGAGATGCCTTCATGGAGCACTTATAGGAGCCGGCTCCACTTGCAGCCTTATCTCGGAAAACAGGATCTCACAAAGCTGAGAAGAGCTCGTGATAAGGAAGACGAGGAAGAGAGCAGGTCCTTGTGTCTTCAGAAAAAAGTGAAAATTCTCTTGTGGATTAGACCAAGGGAGTTCTCCAGTTGGAAGTGACATGGAACCTCCCACATGCCTTTCCAACCCAAGTTTTTGGTGAAGAGGGATTAGTTAACCTCAGGACAGCAGAGTCCTCTGAAAGGTGTGGCAAATGTTGGCCTCTGACTACTGCTCTCTGCGTGGGGATGCTAACGCAGACTGGCTCAAAGGCAGGTAGAGGCTTCTTGCCCACACTGAGTCAGGCGTGGATTTGGTTTCCATCTGGAATGCCCTTTACTTGTGCAGTGAGAAACCAGCATGTGCAACAGAATAGGTGCTGGAGGAGGTATCCACCCCACTCCGGGCAGACTGTTTGGATCTGTGTTCATAACAGCCTCTGCCACTGATTGGCTAATCCAAGCCTTAGTGCTTTATTTCCTTCCAAAAGTAATGGAGTGTGTACCCCTGAGTTATATGTAGCATGGGAAAAATTAGTTCAGATGTCAGGTTTTTTTCTCCCGAAAGTATCCGGACGCTTGGCAGGGTGCAGAGTCACATGGTCTTCCGATCTTTTAAAAGCTGATTTTCCTTGGCCTAATCCCAGGGGAGCTGGATACAGTCTATGGTAATTATTGATTCAGCTCCACTGGTGTTGAACTTCCTGAGAAATTTAAGAATTCACACACACACACACACACACGGCCCCCCAACCCCCCCTCCCCCCCCCAGATAAAGGCAAACACTAAACCAGATTAGTCCATCGTGGTCACCTTTTCTTTAGTATTAGGCGAAAAAGCAAGCCAAAGAGCAGGGTCGGAAATAACCCTGTTCCCCATGGTGTCATGAGAGGCTGGAACACTTGAGAGGGAATGTCAACAGCAAGTGCCAACTAGGTACTGGCTCGTGGTCCCAGCAGGACAGTCTCACCACTGCCAAGAGTTTCTTGTGAAAAACAGGTCTCCTGACCTTTCGTGCCTGGGCATCCTCAGGAGCTCAGATGTTTGTGCAGCAGGCTCAAGGACTCTCAGGTGCAAGTCACTGGCAGATTGTGTGGAGAGACCTGGAGTTTCTGAATTTCTGGTAATGGCGAGAAGGGCCTCATTCAATGAGACTCTGAAATGATTTGAACCCAGAGCTCGCCCTGTGGCTGGCCTGAGCCTTTTGCTGTCTTGGGGCTGATGAGAGGGGAGGACCCCAGGCAATCGCCCCGTCTCAGCCTTGCCCACAAGTTTGATGAGAATTAATATGTAATTAGGAGCTTGCCAAAATCGGAGCAACTCTCCTCTCTAGGGTATTGTTTAAAAATATATCTTGAGACAAATTTCAGGACACCAACTGAGCTAGAAACCAGTTCAAAGGTTATTCTGTTCCTTCACAGAACTCGGGCATTCCCACACTGGTCTCAGCTGCCGCCTCAGACAGTTAATTCTTTCTAGTACGTGTCTGAGCAGACATGGACCTCCCCAAATGTTCTGAGGAGAAGCAGACTCAGAGGAGCTTGCCCTGCTCTGGGAGAGAAAGAATTCAACGGGGCCAGGTCTGAGAAAGCCGCCCCTAGGTTTGTGAGGGCTGCAGGAGAATATCAGCGGTCACCAGAGAATGGGGCAGTGTTCCCTAAAGTCTCGCTTATCCTGTTGGCACTGATTTGTAAAGAGCTAGAGGTGTGTTCTGGTTCTGCTCACACAAACAAGGAATCGCATGAGCATGAGGAGGGTGATGGGGGGACTATGGTTCCTTTCTGCACCTGTTCAAAATGTCTTGTCGGACTTGAGCAGAGAAAGAATCTTTGTCTAGTGTGATAACAGCCCTCCACCATCATTTATTAAAGATTTATTGTGTGCTCACTTTATCATCCAGGTAAAGCCCTATGGTAACCCCACAGGGTAGGCACTATGATTATCCCCATTTTTCAGATAAGGAAACAGAGACGTAGGGAGGGGAAGTAATGCACCCGGATTGTAGAGCTAAGCCATCTGCCTGCTGTCCGGGCCTTCAACAGCAAGCGGCACTTGGCCTTTGTTGTTGTTGTCTGGCGTGCTGGTCTCTGTTAACTCAGGATTTTGAGTTGATTGGAGCTGCTCATTTTCACAAATACCCGGGATGCAGTCTGCACTTTCTACTTAAAGTGAGGTCTTCGGATCAGCAGCACGGCAGCACCTGGATGCTTGTGAGCCATGCGGAGTGTCGGCTCCACCCCATCCCCTGCCAGGGCTGCCTACCACAAGACCCCGAGACATTCACACGCACCATCAAGTTTGAGAAGCACCGCTGCCTGCTACCAGAGAGGAGGATATCCTGTCTGCCCTCCTTCCTTCTCCTTTGTCCAACCTTGTCCAGGAATTTTAAATTCTTTCAAAGTAACAATTACAGAAAAATCACGTCTCAAAAATATCTTACCAGGAAGCACCCAAAGCTGTAGAACCAGAAGCATGACAAGGATTTCTGAGTATCTTTGAATTGTTTTTGAGAAATTAAAGAACTCAAATATCTAAAAGATCATGAGTTTCAGAATCCGTAGTAACAGAGAATTTACTAGGCCAGCTGAAACACGGAGGTCCAAGTGGTCCTGGACCTGCGTTCATGTCGGTTTCACTTTGGACCGCGCCGCCTGCGCAGATGCTGCACACCATGGAGCCACCTCTTGGTAGACGTGAGCCCTGTCACTGGAGAGCACAAGTGAGAACCAAGCTGTCAACAACCCAGTTCCTGCCAAACCCCATCTGCCTGCCAGCCAGGCTTCTAAAAATGTGTTTGGGAATTTTGACTTTTGGCTTTTACTGAATACGAAATTCTACTGTGTATATATAGCCCTGATAAGCTGACCCAGCTTAGGCATAACTCTGATATATTCTGTCTTACAAGACTCAGAATCCATTTCTAGAAGAGGTAATACTGAGGCCATTGACAGGGACTGCCTCTGCCCCTCAGCCTCCTCCCCGGGCGTAGGTCCCCATTCTGAGACTCCCATTCAGCGAGCCCACAGCACTGCAAACTACGATAGGGTTTGGAGCAAAAACATTTGCTGGGTGGGGATGAGCGGGGGCTTCAGAGGAGCATCAGGCTCTGTAACAGGCTGGAGAAGCTGCGGTACTTGCCCTAGCATCACTTTCTGGTCTCTCAGACGGGCCAACGTCAAAATATGATTTAAGAAAACAAGATTTAAGAAAATTTAAGAGGTCACTAAATGCTGCCTGCCACTTCCGCCTGAGTTTTATTACTTTGGACCGAGTATTTCAAAAGTTAAATTATTCAGGGTGAGTTTCAATTCTGGCAGAATGGCATTAAATTGCGCTGTCCTTAGCACTGTGTCTTTGTCCTCCGAGAGACAGACCTCAGTTTGAATGGTGTCACTTGAACTAGGACAAGTTCCTTATTCCAAAGCCTTAATTTTTTAATCTCAGGTTCAACATATTTTTAGCGTTTACTTTTGAGCATGTGTGGTTTAAGGAAGCGGGGCCCACCTCACCGCCAGGTGTCGGGTCCTCGACTGTGAGCTGGGACTCTGGGGGCTGCTCCACGGAGGGACCGCAGGCCTGTGACGGGTGACACAAACGGGGAGGTGCTCACTTCACACAAGTGAAATGTGCCTTTCCTCCTGAGTCACAGTGTCCTGCTGGCCTTCCGAGCTTCAGAATAGTGAACGGCTAATGTATTTATGTATGATGGCCTCCTAGACTTTGGAAATGCACTTCAACAAGTTTTTGTTTTTTCTTAAGGCCTTTGTTTCTGCACCCCTTAAGCCCCGCCCATAAACTGTTCTAAAGGCAGCTGAGCTTAGAGCACAAGCCCATTTTCCTACCTACAACCACAGGCACGGCTAATTTGTACTCAGTTCGCTTCACCTTCCAGTGCCCTCCTTGGAGACAGAACAACAAAATCTTCATCCTCCTGAGGCTTCTGAGGAGCTCAAGGGAGCAGCTCGCTCGATTCCTACCGAAGGGAAGGTCGACCCCACAGGCGGTTCAGTCATATGTTCCTGACGCCGTCAAAAATCTCAGAACATCCGCAGTTAAAAATATTTTATTTCAGTTTATACAAAATACAGTCAGTACCAAAATGCACATAACATTTTTCATTCAGTTTACATTTTAAAAAAAAGGACAACCGTAATTTCAAATACTTTCTGCTTACATTTCATGTAAACATTGTTCTGGACCCATATTATTTACTAAAATGCAGCCACCTGTGCAGTTTCACGAACGTATAGTGCTTTTTGATGGAGAATTAGACCTGCCCACCGATTTCTTGAGCCACGCACAGGACCACCACTGGCCGGATTCCAGACCAAATGAGACTCTCTAGAGACATAACTGCAGCTTCCCAGCAATGTGAAGTTGTCGATGCCCGGATTTCATTTCACACACACATCTGTGCAAATCTGTAGTCGATAGCCTATCTACATACACCTATTATGAAGGGTCACGGTGGAGGAATGCAGCTGCCCACAGGGGCACAATGTCTACTCAGGGAAGTGGCCAGTGCCACAGCGCAGGGCCTGACACACAGGTCACTCTTGTTTGGATGTTGCCATGCTGGCCATCATGTGAAGTGCCAGTATACGCAATTTGAATCTATAACATTTGAAAATGTTTCGCCAGTCTTTTGACAGAATGTACTCTTCAGTACGTTTTGAGGGGCAAGTGGGGAAAAAAATAAAAGGGAATCAAAGGAAAGTACATTCCAGGTTCTGCCAAACCCACGGGCTTCAGAAGAAACACTGCTTCACATTTTAGTAGTTTTATCCCTCCCTATGGATGTAACCACACGGATACTGAAAAAGAACATCAAGGAGGTGTGGATCTTGGTGCAGAGACCACCTCTCCCCACCTACAGGAAAAAAAATCCCAGGAAGCAATGTGTCAGGAAGATCCCTCTTGAAAGCAAAATAGAATTTAGACTACGACCAACTTTTCACAAAGCAGTTCAGAGTGTATGGCGTTCAACTATAAATATACCATCAAAAGTAGGAAGGTATCACTGTTAAGAAAAATGGTATCTTCATTACTAGATTAAGAATGTCTTTAAAAAAGTGAATCCATGAACTTTAAAGTTTGATTTTCCTTGTAAATCTGTGCTCAGTTCTGGAGACTGGGCCCAATTCTGTCTACTGAGCACTAGGAAGCCCCAGAAAGAACCAAATTAATTGGCAACATGGCCGCCCCTTGATCCTGATAATAGAGCTAAATATTCAACTTATAACGAATTCCAAGCTCAACCACATTAACAAATGCTCCACCTTCAGGGCCTCCAAGACTGCTGGCCTCAGGACGTCTCAGTGCAATATTTATGACGCCAGCACAGGCTTGAGGCATGTGTCTGAGGCTAGAAATGCCACAGCTGGGAGCAGGCACACCCTCCACCAGGCTCGTCTGCCATGAGCAAGCATTGCATCAGAGGGAGACGAAGTGCAAATTACAGTGGTGTTGCACAGAGACATCACCGACGCCTGCCTTGGCAATGAATAACAATCATTCAACTCCAAACTGGCAACCGAAGGGAAGAAATCTAATTATTAGCTCCCAATGCAGTACAGCTAACAACTAAAAAAAATAAATTCTCCAGTTTGAAATTTGACTTGTTCTTTCACAGAAATTTTCCCTGGATCGGGAGCTTAATGTCAGCTTCCTTTGACCAGCACAAGACAAACTTTGGCTGTCTTGAGAAACTTCTAAGCAGGCCCTTATCCTACACCTTGCACAAACATGTCTAGAAAGCGAAATCCGGACTAAATGATGCAAAGATGAAATGCAGTAATGATTCCATGCCTAATATAAACATCTATTTCAATGTTTACTGCAGACTGAACACAGTCAAGGCAAACGCTTGTGAAAATTACAAGGCTCTGCTATCTCTAATTCTTATGATCAGAAAATCAAGTTTATTCACGCTTCACCTTTACTTATCATTGTTATTAAATAACCCTTGACATTTATTTTGTTGGCATGTGCTAATAAACACACACATTCCCAAGAGAGCAAAGGAAAAACTCCAGTCCAGAGTATTCTGTGTGAAGCCAATTAAGACACTGCCTCTAGGGCCTCGAGACCCTGGGCTGCAGACACGGTTGCTGTGGAAACAAATTTGCCTCAGCATTTCTGGCAGAGCCAGAACCTACTGACTAACGTGTCTTCAAATAGGATCTAGCATAAACAGGGCTCCCCACTTAACCTGGGTGCCATTCTTGGAGTGTACAGATCATGAGAAATTACAAAGGAAAACACGACATTCCATACACAATTTATTTTACTATATAAGTTGTTGTTTTCTTTTATTCAATTACACAAATTTGAATGCCGATTTCTGAACAAATCTTTTACTTAACTTTGGCAAAAACAACAGATTTCAAACATTTAGTAGCATCTCATTTATATAGCTTTTTTTCTTTTTAAACTCTAGCATATTAGTATTTTCAAAACAATACTCAAACAGATGTGCTTTACAAGTTAACTGGTAATGATCTGATTTCTACGATAGCTTATTTAAGAGAATAATTACTTAAAAAGGACAGACTAGACATGTATTTTTTTTAAAAAAATTCAATTTTTGGTCATGTGAATGATTCATGTTCAGATTTCAAAAATAGAAAAGGTCCTAAAGTGCATCATTTATTTATAATATAACTCCTTGAAATTATAGTGATCTGCAATGTAAACAGTAAAGAATACCAAACTATATTTTCATGTACATTTAAACTGGTAGGATTATGTACCGTCTTTAAGTGGGTGGAGTAGACCAGGGCACTTCCAACACACAGTTCATGCTTCTATATGATTATTTTTAAGAGCAAACTTAAAGGTATTCTTTTTCTCCTACTCCCGACTTAAACCATTTTCAACTGACAGAGCTGCTCCCGCGCTTCAGCAATGGGAAATGCTGCTGTAAATCTAAGCCAATCAGTTTCTCAAGAACCCATTTTTTTTTTTGAAACTGACAACTAGTCAGTAGAGTTTTACATTCTCTTTATTTTCTTTTCCTTATTAAGCAAAACAAAATAGCACCCTTTAAGAAGGCAACTCTCAAAACAGACAGGAGGGCACCCCTGCTGTCTCGCTCATCCTGCACCACCACCTTCAACAGGCAGAGCCTGCTGAGCCGCCTGCGCTCGTCAGCAGCGGCTGGGGTGCAGACACCTGTGCTCGACCTCACAAAGCACAAACGCAGGCCGAGGATGGACAGGCCGAACCAGAACCCACTCTCCTAAGTGCAGACACAGACAGTCACAAAGTAACACCAAATCACAAAGTGACATCAGCACACCGAAGTGATGAGTGCTTTGGTGTCTTAAATTCCTGGTCCCTCCAAAACGTCTAACTATAGACAGCTTTGTGACACAGTTTTTGAAAAAATTATAACCATAATTGGCCACACACCATTATTTGTTCTCTTTACACATGATCTTGAAAATAGCGTGACTTAGATTCTGCCTTGGGCTGAGCTCTGAGGGCTGCATTTACCCCTCAGTTAGAGGATTTTAGTGCAGCTTTCCTTTAAAAAAAAAAAAATCAAACTCTGGTGAGTACTCAGGAGGCTGCGAACACAGGCTCTTTCTCCCTCTCTCACGATCCTCTACACTTAAGCTAAGAATTAAGCAAAATCCTTTATGTTTGGCTAGTGCCCAAACGAAACTAAGCCTCAGACAGGTTGCCATAGCATGCTGGCCTCGCTTAGTGTTTGATGTTAAAATCTGAGACTGATAAGTGCGGTCCACGTTCCAGAGAGAATTCTCCAGGCTCTTCACCCTGTTACCTGATTTAAAAGTCAGCATTCATATAGCTACTGCTATATTCCCTCCGTCCTCTACAGATGATCCAGTCCTAGTCAGGGATCAAAATTCTGTCAGCTGAGGAAGTCTTGAAGAAACACACCTTCAAATAGATGTTTGTACCACCCATATGGGCAGACGCAGCTTCCATCTACCTGAGAGCTGGAGGGGAACAATTCACATGAGAGGGGAGAGGTGCAGCTCTGTGCAAAGGTCACAAGAATGGCCACGGCAGCAGATAGGGCTCCAATGCACGTTCCCCCTTGACTGGGTCCAAAGACAGCATGGACCTGCACAGTACGTTCGCTCCACAGAACGAAGTCCTGAGCTTGTTTCTGTCACAGCTAGACAGAGAATGGTCTCATGTTTCTCAGTTACCCAGGGAAGAACAGTGTGTGTTCTCTGTAGATGAGTGTGCCTCAATGTAGTGATTCATCACTGCTAGTGTTAGTAACATTTCCACTATAGTGTCTGTGTGTGCATGTGTACGCACGAGGAGGCACGCAGAAATCTTGATCTTCCTGACAGAATTCCTAAGTCGGGGCAAATTGCCTTCTTCCTTCTGGGTGGTTTCTAAGGCAGGCGATGGAAATTGGAGCCCATCCCAATGGCCTGGAGGCAGAAGGCTACATGCTTTGCAGGTCCAGCTCCAAGGCTGCCTTCCAGTTTCTGCAGAGCGGCTGTTTACCAGGGGAGGCAGGTGGCAAGTTCACTCCGCATCCCCAGCCCCCTTGACTCGGGCTGGGGTGCCCCCTTACATGGACTTGGAATCAGTGTCTCTCTTGCTGATGAGCACCTCCAAGAGCCTTAGTTTCGCCTTTATGTGCTTATATTCATTGTATTCTTCAGTCATCGGAGTGCGGTCTTCCTTCTGGACATTTCTAATGGAAACAAAGGGAAAGGAGGCTGAGGGTCATTTGCTGTCTCTCCTAGATGACACTGTTCATTAGGTGAATTATTGTCACGTGGCAACTTTGCAGTTTATCACCTGTAGAATCAGTGCTGCCAAGTGTCACTTGGTGTGGAGCAGTGAAAGACAGCTTCCCCCCAAAGGCACAAGTCACTGAGTTTTTAGAGTTAATCTGGCATCTCGTAGAATGATATGAAGGACTAAGAAATATAGACATTTTCTCTCTGCTGCTGGTATAGATGAATTCAGATTGAGAGTCTCCATACACTGAAATCCTTTACCTAGAATTACTGTTCTCTCACTTTTATATATTTCATCTAATGAACCATTAAATTTCTAATTAGCAATTGGTATACCCATAATTTACAGGTTTTTCAAAAACAGATAGATAATAATTCTACTGATCATGAAATTAGCCTTGGAATTCAGTAATTGGATCATATAATACTAATAGGCCTTTGTAGTTTACCAAATAATTTTATATGCATACTTTTTATGTGCACAAGTATTAAGTGAGAGCCTACTAAAGATGGAGCACCATGCTAGCTACTCCATATCCATGAGCTCATATAACCTCACATGAAGCTGATAAAATGGTGCTATTACCCACATCCTACACCTGCTGAAACTGGAACAGGAAATCAGGTTGACCGCACAGCCACTGCACTGAATGGTCGGGCAAGGTGGGCCAGCCTCTCATTTCACCTGGAAATGTGCACGTCAGACACTCAGACGCCAGGCTTCCCTTTCTTCTCATTAAAGAACAAATACGGGAGAGGGGATAGCATGGGGCTTATTTAATTTTGTTCAACGAACTAAATATAAACGTGTTTTATTCATGCCCTGCTTTGTTCAAGGACAGGAGTCTAGATGGTTTCTCAGCAGAGGGCAGTGAAGGGAACATGGCAGTGGGAACAAGGGCATCTGACACCAAGCCCCAGCTGTGCCCTCGGACGGGCTTCCTCTCCTCAGATACAAGACGATGGAACCAGATTTTGTGATATCTGAAATCCCTCTGAGTTCTAAACTTGTACTTTCTTAACACTTGTGAAGTGAAGTTTATATAATTACATAGAGTTCCTCCTGTAGAGGATATCTGTGCATAATGTGACTATAATTGTATGGAAAAAAGATAAGGAGACAAATCAGAAATATGCCAAGAAGGAAGACTGGAATGAAACACATCACAAACACCATTAATCCTGGTTTGTCTTTGGGGATTATTATTATTTTGGGTGTTATTTCTTTTATCTGCTTATCTATATTTTCTAAATATCTTGCAATGCCTGGAGAAAGAAAAGCAAATATTTAAATATAAAAGTTTATAAATCTTAAGAAAGTCATTAAAGAGCAGATCCAAATCAGAGATCCTAAAAGTAAATTTATACAATAACTGAAAATAAACTGGAATACAACACATTTTAAATGCCAAAGGTAATTTTTATGGTGCTTTTATTTCCCAATACTTTTGAGAAGCATGAAAGGGGAGTTAAAAAGAAACTATATTTATACTGTTTAAATAATTTGGAAGAAAACAAAATCAATTTAAAACAAAATAACTCCAACATCAGACATGCAAATCTATGCCCTGTTCTATCTTCTGTCCTTGTCTCATGCTGTGACTTGAGTAAGACATTCTGTGTGCAAACTTGCAAACAGGGAAGGCCTCTCCCCAACATGATGTTGTCTGAGGATGCACACATTATGCCTTAAGATGGACAGGAGAAAGGTACCCTGTCCATTGGGTGGGCTTCCTGCTTCTTGTATATTTTTCATTCAAACTTGATAACTATCATCTTTGCTTTTAAAATGAGCTTAAAAACCAGCAAGATTTAGAGTCCTCCTTTCCTTATTTCTCCTTCTAGTTTAAGACCAAAAAAATATATATTCTAGAAAAACAAACCAGTGCTGTGAACTGGAAACTTAGCTTCAAGCTGCTCATCTCAGAGGAGAATCTGATGTGACAGGTTAGTGCTATGAACATTAGCTGAATCTGCATCAGCCAGAGACACCACCCAAGGAGCGCTTCCTCCTGCAGGCCCACGCACACCTCGCCACCTCACAGTCCACCTTGAAGGGGCCCTGTGCACAACCCCAAGGACTGGGTTACAGAAAGGATGCAGAGTGGGTCCCACTTGGAGGGAGCACACAGATCGGACGGAGAAACAAGAGGGATGTGTGTGTGGAGGGGAACAGAGACGGGGAAGGGAAACACAGGCACTACCTTCCATTTTGCCTGAAAAAATTGTCTTCAAAATCACGCAGTTTCTTTCGAATCCTTTTCTTTTCTTCTCTCATTTCCTGAAGGTGTTCCAAGAGTTCAGGTCTAAGAGGGGCAGGAAAATGTCAAGAAAATTGAGTTAAATCTGAATTGTTATAAATGTAATTAATGTGCAACTTGATAGGGGTTGTGGACAAGGTGGGAAGCAGATAAATGCAAAAGCTGTTGAGGGAGCTGAGGGGCAGCAGGACCGGACGAAGCCCCAGCAGACTGACAAGAGACACGGCTGCTGGGTTCTGCAAGGCTCCTGCTCCTCACGAATTCTTAGGGCTTGTGAAATCCCATGGCACTCTGTCGCATTTTGCTTTGAAAAGAAGAGACGGCATCTGTGCTCAACGCATGTTAAATGATGAGCCATGGAGCACAGAGCCACACAATGCCATTTATAGAGACCTTCTGATTGTTTAAGCAAGATCTCAGATGCCGCCTCGAACAACACAGGAGGAAGCATATAAAAACACTGTGCCAGAAGTTAAAAAAAATCACTGTTTTATCCATATAGATGCACCCCAGGTAAATCACTTGTGTTTTTTCAAGCCAATTTATTTACATACAAAAGCTAAAATAATATTTAAGGAAGTGATTTTCACCAAAACATTTCAACACCACCACCCAAACGACATACATTGAAGCAGCATGGAGATTTGAAAGCCCGGTGTCCTGGCTGCATTTGGAGGGCATTTTCTCATCCATTGGGGAAATAAACCCATCAGCATCATCTTCAAATTGGTCCAGGAAGCAACGTGCACTGAAGTCGGTTTTCAGAGTGACCGTGAAGTCTGGCTTGCTGTTGCTGTCATCTTCTGAACCCTCTTCTTCCTGGAGACACACAGCAACCCCAATAAAAACATGGCCACTTTTCTGGCACTCTTTCATTGCAAGTATCATATAACGAACATTTAATTATCCAGATACCATATAGTTTCTTCTCTGTCTACACTTAGCAACATATATGCACATTATAGACCTATTAGTGAATATCTATACACAGTAAATAATGCAAACACTAAATACAGCCACTCAATAGAGAAAAAAAAACTATAAAGCTATAAAAAAATGAGTGCACAGCACAATTAAAAGTTGTCAAGGCTGAGAGGGTAGGAAGGAACCAACCGTCATAATTTATACCCTAAAACAAATGAAGGAAAAGAATCGGAAAATTGCCAGCTCTGTGACAATACATAAAATCTGTGCTTTAAGGATTCCATTACTTGTGTACTGCAGAAAGTATTTTTTATTAAGCTATGAACATTTTCAGAAATTGAACAATATAGCCTTTCTATTTAAGAGTTGAGATTATAACATTGTGTGGTTGCTTGATGCACAAAATTTTAGGATTTTTTTTTTTCTTTTTTGGTGAGGAAGATTAGCCCTGAGCTAACATCTGTTGCCAATCTTCCTCTTTTTGCTTGAGGAAGATTGTCACTGAGCTAACTTCTGTGCCAGTTTTTGTCTATTTTGTATGTGTGATGCCACCATAGCGTGGCTTGACAAGAGGTGCTAGGTCCACGCCTGGGATCTGAATCTGTAAACCCTGGGCTGCTGAAGTGGAGAGCATGACCTTAACCGCTATACCACCGGGCTGGCCTCAGGAAACTTTCGAGGATCTTTTGAGAAGGCCAAAACATTTATCTTCTTATGATTGGAATCATAAAACTCTTAAGTTTTTCATGGAACTTTCAAGGGCCACGGCGATGTTTTTCAGCATCCAAGATTCTAAGAAAAGTATGATATTCTTTATCTGCTTTGATGATAATGCAATTAGAAAAACAACAAAGTCAAATTAAAATTGCTTACTGCCAATTTAAAGCTATGTAAGTCTAAAGAAGAAATAACATCAGAGTTTGAAAGGAAGATTTTAAAAGAAGTAATTCACTGCCAAAATGTACAGTCAGACCAGAACAGAATACCCTATTATCTTGAAAAATTAAAAAATTGGTTAGGAGTACAGTTACATGAACAACGGGAAGTGTAACGCCAATTGTTCCAGTTAAACCAAGTGGTTTCAGTGCCAATGCAGCAAATTCACCTCGGGAGGCGGAGTGGTTACCACTGGCGGTCAAAGCATAGGATGCAAATTGCCTGCAGTGGTTTTCTTACCATAAGGTGTGGCATGTTTATAATGGTGTCCCTGAAGAGAAAAAAATGTAAACAAACAAACAGGCAAAACAACCAAAAAAAAGGACTAACACATAACTACAATGAAAGTACTGTTATGAAGGCATGAAGTTAATACTGGCAAAAACTAGACGGCTTTTCCAGATTCTGTCTGCTGTGACTTCAGATCTTCAATCTCTTTGCTTGGTCCATGGAAGTAAATGCCTCACTATTAATTTTTCAAAATTTAAATTATTAAAAATATTTTAAAATTTAGAGTAAAAATGACTTTTAAATTAATAATTTAAAATTATTAGCCATGGCTGGCCCCGTGGCTGAGTGGTTAAGTTCACATGCTCCACCTTGGCAGCCCGGGGTTCACTGATTCAGATCCTGGGCACAGACCTACACATCAAGCATCAAGCCATGCTGTGTTGGCATCCCACATGGAAGAACTAGAAGGACCTACAACTAGCATATACAACTATGTACTGGGGCTTTGGGGAGGAAAAACAAGAGGAAGATTGGCAACAGATGTTAGCTCAGGGCCAATCTTCCTCACCAAAAAAAAAAAAAAAAAAGTTTCTCCTTTTTGTGTGAGGACATAACAATTCCCACCTATTTGTCTTCCTAAGGATAGAGACACCTGATAAGGTACACCTGGCACACGGCAGTGCTGCTCTGCCTTCTGTTCCCTCCCCCTCCCCCTTCCCTGGATGAGGAAGCCCAGGGGGAACCACCTGACAATAAATCCCACGGAGGCAGCGATTTAGGCCTGTCTGTCACGGCTGTCCCCAGAGCTCTGCCAATGCCTGTATACAGTAGGTGCTCAATAAATGTCTGCTCAACAGTCTAGTACTCAGTTTTAAAAGAGAAATACAAGTTACTATTAAGACAGTGTTAAAGCCTGAGATAGATAAAAAATGAAGTCAGGTGTCCAGACCTTATCAATTATATCCCAAGGTCCTGAGAGAGCTTAAAAATGTGAGAATGGGTCTTGCACACAGTGAGAACTTAATGTTTTTTAAGATGAAGCTAGACAAAACTATTCTCAGTAAGCTGTGAAAATCACAGGAAAAAAGAGAAATAGCAAGATAAATCTTCAAATTATCAGACCATCACGTTGTTGTGGCCCTTGGGTAGATTCTAGAAGGAATCAGTACATGGATAATGTATGAGCAACTGGAAAAGAATCAGTGATCGACAGTGAGCAGCAGTGGCTCCTTAAGTACAAATCATGAAAACTGACCATTTTCCTTAATCTCTGGATTTCAGTCAAGAATGAGGTGAGCTGATCCTAGAAAGGAAAGCTGGCTGGGAAAACTGATGCAATGGCGACATGAATCTGGAGGGAAGGCCACAGCAGGCTCTGGACCTGACCCTGCCTGAATATGCACCAGTCGTGTGGATAAAGACACAAAAGGCACATTCAGAAAATGCACAGAGGTACAGAGTGTGTAGGGACATCTGGTATGTTGGAATACAAAATTAGATTTAATCTGTTTCACAAGGCGGAATAGAGAATGAAAAGTAATTGGAAAAATTCAAGGTCCTATAATTAGGTTGGAAAAAAAAAAGCAGGACACACAGACAATAAGCAGTCCGTGGAAAGGGAAGCGGGAGATCGCACACAGCAACAGTGAGACAGGGCCACGAGCAGTGGTTCTCAGCGGGGGCGGGGGGGAGGAGAGGGGAATTTGCCCCCTAGGGGACCCTAGGTAATGTTTAAAGACATTGCTGGTTGTCACAGCTGGCGAGGGGTGCTTCTGGCGCACGACTGGCATCTAGTGGGTGGAGGCCAGCCTCCCACACAAAGAGTTACCCAGCCCCAAATGTCCACAGTGCTGAGGCTGAGACCCCTGCCCCACAAAGACTAAAATGAACTCACAGGACCTCAAGAGTCACGGCATGACCGCCCTGTAGACCTGAAGGGCCTGAGTTGTCCGGACCAAGGGCAGGGCTAGTCCTTGGTCCTCTGTCCTGCTGGTTAAACCATAGCTAGAACACAGTTCAGTTCTGGGTACCAGTTTCTAAGCGGGATCTAGATAAACTGGTGTGCATCCAGAGCAGAGCCACTGGCTGGAGGGTCTGGAACCCACTTCTCAAGAGGAGTAGTAAGAAGAACTTGGAGAAAAAACTTTCACAGGGTGTGGGTGGGAGTGGGCAGGGCAGGTGGCTGCAAATATATGAAGTCTTCTCAAGGATGAAGCAGGATGCTTATTCTATGCTGTTCCAGAGGGTAAAACTAAGCCTGTTAAGTAGGAAGTAATGCACTACTAATAAATATGGCTATTATAATTTTTAAATATTTTCATTAATTGTGATATTTTATAGCTATCAAACATTATGCATTCTAAAATTTATATCATATAATCTTAAATTTTATAATTTTAAAAATGATAATTATAAAATAATACAAGATAAGCTTTTAGCAATTATTGATATTTTGCCCATGTAATGAGTGACCTCACTCTCCCCATTGCTATACACTTTTCAAGCTTGAGGATGGACCCCTTCTTAGGACAGTGTCTCTCATCTGTCAGGTGAGCCTCAGTAGAAATTCTTATGTGGATAGGACTATTGACTAGATGATTCCTAGGGTTTTGGGGTTGGATGATCCAGGGCTGGCTCTATTTCATATACTGCTGGTTCCCTACGCATTTAAAACCAGGGGTGGTTTTTAAAAAAACCACCAAATCCTAAATTGTATCAGAATTGCCAAGAATTATACAATCCAAATAAATTCTAATAAGCCTGGCCAATTGGAACAAAATGAACTAAAAGACAACACTATTTACCAAAGCAATGTAATCATTGCAAAATTATCTGAAATTCTGACCATGATGTGGGCCAGCAGAAGAGCCACCGCCAAAATATACTTGTGAAAAAAACAAAAAATAAGCTCAAGGATAAGATTTGGGAGAATGTCCTCTTTTAAAAAGAGCATTATTAGTATAGCTTCCATTTGTTTACTGAAGCAATTAGTAAGTGTCATATTGTGGGTGTGTTAAAGAACACTATTATCTAATAATAGTCCTATTGCATGCTTTTAAGATAAATATGCTAATTTTCATATAGACAATTGCCCAAATTTCTTCAATTATGGTGATTTAATTCATGTGCGAAATGACGAGCTAGACAAAATTTGTCTTCTTTCATCAACATCAAGTCTTATTGTAAGAAAATAGCTCTCATTTTTAAGATACAATATAGCATATTTGCCTAGATTTCACATTTAGAGCATTTTCATAAAACAAGTTCTATTTAAAATAATATGAATACCTAATACCTTAAAATTAGGTATATGAAATATTTAAGACCCCTAAGAAGTAAGAAAAGGAAGAGAATAAATAAAAGACAAGACTTTGCAGCTTCTGGTACCTTACCTCAGTTAGAATGATGAGAATCAGGCAAGAAAATGGAGCGGTTCTCAATTGGTGTCCCTCGGTGGGAACGAGGCCCCGTATTCTGAAATAATTGTTCCTAACTACAGCAAGTAAAGGACTACTCCAGGCTTGGAATCGTCACAGAAATATGACAAGTGAAACTCTTAAAACTCACTTCTGCCTTGGGTTTTACTCCCTCTTCCAATTTAACTGCTAAAAACCAATCACTGACTTTTAAAAAATGAGTGACTTGACTTTTCATCCCGAGAGCCCTGCAGGAGGCCACCCAGTTTGTTCAGATGTCTAGAAACAAAAACCTTGACAGAGGCTGACCCTAGCCCAGGCCAGTTAGGTCCCTTCAGAGACACAGAGATCTGTGGGCACAGACAATACCCCCCATTCTAGCAAAAGGAGCCCTGAGGACAAGGATCCTCTGTATAAAATCCAGAAGAGCTCCGGGGAAAAAATCAGAGCATGTGTTCTCGTGATGGCCAGTCACAGCACCACATCCACAGACCAAGAAAGATCATAAAGTCAGCACTGAGGACTCAGCGTGCGGAGGAAAGGTAAGAGGAAGGAAGAGCGGGTGGAACAGCACCAGCAAATCTGTCAGAGACAACTAGACATTTGTCTAAGAAACGGTAATTTTCTATTGTGTGCCATGTATATTGCCTTTGTTAATTTTGGTTTTTCTATAAACACAGTAAATGAGACTTTTTAAAAAAGTTACCCTATTGAGCTAATTTAACAAAGTTTTGGAATATAGAAAATCCATTCCTCAAATGGCAGAAAAAAACCCCAAACAAAAAATATTGTCAAAACAAAACAAAACAATCATTCCTGAAAGCAAACTAAAAACAAAACTAACAGCAAACAAAAAAACAAAAAGCGGGGAATGAAATGACACGAAGGAAATCAGCTGGTCTATAATATAAATAGAAGGAACTGTTCAAGTCGGTTATACGCAGCTACTGATGCTTAGGGACCACGACAGGAAGCCATCACCGGAGGGCCCAATCAACCCCTTTCCCTCGGGGAGGAGGGGAGGAAGGGAGGGAATTGGCGCAGATTTAGCAAGTGGTTAGCTGCTGGAGGTCTTCACCTTGATCTCCTTGAAGAAGGAAGCAGTTTCGCCCTCGATAATTGGCTGCAGCAAAGGGCTTCTCCGCTTGCTGGAGGGGGAACCCTGCGACAGGCGTTAACAGGGAGGTTACATGGCGAACTCCTTTCCCTCGCCCGCCAGCTCGCTGCCTCCTGTGTCTCACCGGCCTTTAGGACGGCCTTTTAACTAGGTGCTCCAACCCCTCCCCCCAAACTTTCCCAGGAAAACCAGAAACAACCAAAGTTCTTCTTCAAGTCGATACTTCACTTCAGAGCCCACACGCACAAACCAAGGGGGCCACAGGGAAGCAAGGACAGCACCCGACTATGTTAACCACACGCACGCAGGAAAAACCCGAGGAGAAACACCCGCCTCCCCATCATCGCTCCTCCCCAAGCACAGTGGCTACCAGGACATCTGAACCGTCATGAGCTTTAAGCTCATCAAGCCATAGACAGATGTTGCCCATTCACCCTATGTAGGGACACTAAGGGCTCCCAGCTGGAGAATGAAAATGATGCCTTAGATTTAATCCTTTTATTGGCTGGCTTACTAATTTATTCTGCAGGACATTTCTAGAAAAGTAGCTTTCGTCAAACACACCTGCCTGAGGTCTCTGGACCCTCCCTCATTCATATGAACACATACACTGTTAAAAGACATATAAAGACCATATCTTAGGCCTGGAAACACACAAGGAGATTTAAAGCAGGAATAGAAGAACCGCAGATAAGATGAATATGCATTTCAATGAAACATAAAAGCGAGGCTGTGTCTGCCAGTCCAAAACCAAGCAGAAGCAGCCCCCAGGTCCCTGGAGATTAGAGCACTGAAGCAGAGGCCAACGATGCCCCGAGAGATGGGCAGGGCGTTCACACTGCACTCAAGCTGGGGTAGAAAAGCCGAGATGGGGACAAAGGAGGACAGCAAGCTGGCCAGAGCCTGAGAGGCTTTCCTAGAGCTGAGGGCAAGCTGTGCTCCCTAATCTTGTCAAAATCAAAACTGACAGCCCCAAGTGGCTAAGTCCAAGGACAGTGGCCACTGAGAGCAACTTCACAATCATTAGCCTCCCCCCATCTCCTTCCAAATTACACTTCTCTGCATCCTCCAAAAAGAGAAGGCTCTCTCTCCTGAATTCCTTTGAGGGTGTCTCCCTGGATATGGTTCCCAAAGGGTTATCCCTCTTTTGGAGGGGGAGCAGAGACTGTTAACTAGAGAGTCACTCTCTGGGGAGGAGCGGCCTGGAGAAAGCACAGCCCTGTCTGCTTGGTGCTCTGTCTCTGAGGAAGGGTGGGGGAGTCGGGCCAGTACATGCCAGATGGATGGATACAGCCAAAGCACATCTCCCAAAAGAAAAAATATTCTATCAGCTTCAGATTTGCTCATTTTTGGCAAAGGAAGCCTCAGAAGTCTTTGATAAATTCTTCATTTCTCAAGCTTATGGGCCACAGATATGAACAGCAGGTTCAACTACTAAAGCCTATTCTTCAAAGAGAAAGCAGGTTAGGACCCTGTTAATAGAGCCAGGGCCCATTCAACCAGGTAATCGACAACAGAGAGTGGTGCACTCACAATGATGGGGATGGTGTTGGCCCGGGACAGGATCTGTTTGACCAGCCGGTACCTGTCATATAGCGGCTTCATAACCTGACGTTCGTTCTTGGTTACCTGGAAAGGAAGAACAAGAGACCTGAGAAGCCCACTCCTGCTGGCATGCTCCCCGCTGCCCAAGCATGCTCTGGGCCTAGAGAAAGTACAGAGGACCCCACTGAAGTCTCATCATTCCTACAAAATATACATAAACTGATAATATCTGGGCAATGACAGTTGAAAATGTCTACTTCAGCTGCAGATCACTGGCAATCGCTCCATCAGCACTCTTGCTTTTCCCAAATCAAAACGATAACCATTATCATAGGTTCTGAACTCCCAAGGTTCAGAGTTCCTAGATGATTTACTATTTTCTAGGTCCAGGGAAGAAGAAAGCATGCATTTCTATTATAATACTTATCATGCAGTTCTGTAATCAGTTTTTTTACACGTCTCTTTCTCCCATGATATTGTTGTGTTTTTAAGGATAAGACTTTGGCAAACAGGAGCTATTCAAGGAGCATCTGCTGATAGAATGCATGGATTGATTCATCTCTGTATCCCGAAAATCTGGCACAGGGCCCCACAATGTTTAAAGGACTGGTTCTCTAGGCAGTGGGGAGGAGCTGAGCCCAGCGCCCGGGTGTAGTATTTGACGCCCCTCACCTCCTGCTGCTTCTCCTCCCCCAGTCACACCTCAACCTCCAGAGGTCAACTGAGCTGTTTCATACATCCTTGTCTACTGCCCTCTGCCCTGCGTGGCTTCCTCTCCGCTCCTTAGTCTGGCAAATTCTATATCAACAGCCACCTCCCCTTCCAACATCCCCCATCTAGGAGACCTGCTCCTTCTCTCCTTTGTGTCACCTGCTGCAATCTCTGTATACCTTGTATTTCAATATATGCTTTGCTATAAACGGAATATTTGTGTCCCCCCAAATTCATATGTTGAAACCTAATCCGTGATTTGATGGTATTTAGAGGTGGCGTTGGTCTTTGGGAGGTGATTAGGTCATGAATGGGACTGGTGCCCTTATAAAAGAGACCCGAGAGAGCACCCTCACCCCTTCTGTCATGTGAGGGATGACTGTCTACGAACCAGGAAAGGGGCTCTCACCAGACACCGAATTTGCTGGTGCCCTGATCTTGGACTTCTCAGCCTCCAGAACTGTGAGGAATACATTTCTGTTGTTTATAAGCCACCCAGTCAACGGTCCTCTGTTATAGCAGCCCCAACGGATGAAGACACATTTTTACACTCTACAGTAACTATTTGTTGACACACTTGTTTCCTCCTTTAGACTTTAAGCCCCATCAGACCAGGAGTTTGTGTTTTTGTATCCCTGGTAACTATTTCAGTGCCTGATATATGGAGATATTCCATAAATATTTATCTGTGAAATGAGTGAATATTTCAAACATAAATAGGTGTGCCCAATTCACAGGTATGTAAGCATTTCTCTTGTTTACTTAGATGGTGAATGAGATGAAGTATCTTTGTTCCACGGCTGCTGTTTGTCTTCTGCATTTTGTTTCCATTGAGCACGTAATAAGGCAAGAGTTTCAGAGGTACGGAAGGGCAAGCTGTATTAGCTTTGACCATTTCTCCTACGGGCCTCTTGGGCCTCCAACTGTGAAGACGACTCTGGATTATGCATAAATGGGTTATCCTGTGTGGCCTTCTATATTTGCCTTTCTCAAAGTGACCAACAATAAGGGAACTCTGGATAAACTTCAGAAGCTAGGGTAGGATACTGCCACTATGCAAAAACATTTTGTGGATTTATTTTCTATCATCAGCAATAATAATAATCTTCTATCTCTATCTCCTCCCGTGATCACAATATTAAAAGGAGGATGGCATTTCCCTGCTTCTACTATCTACTGTAGCAAAGAGTTTTAAAATTGGCATTTCATAAAAAATGACTGTCAAAACTGGAAGGGAACTCAGAAATCATTTTATATGAAAAAGACTGAAGATCAAACCATAGGTGTTACTACAAAACACCTGCCACAATGGTGAAAATGAAAAGACAGAGCATCACATGTCAGCTGTTCCAGGAATTCTCTGGAACAACTAGAACTCTGGTAAGGGTGGAACACTTTGGAAAACTATTTGATAGTATCTACTGAAACTGAACATATTACCCATCAATTCCACTCTTAAGTATACACCAAACAAATGTGGCCTTAAATTCACCAAAAGACATATATAAGAGGGCTCACAGCAGCACTATTTCTATTAACCGCAAACTGGAAACCACCCATATACCCAACAATAGAAGAACAGATAAGGTATGTTCCCCAAAATGAATACTACACAGGAAATTTTGAGAAGGAATGAGCCACAGCTATACGCAACATCATGGATTAATCTCACAAAAAGAAAGCCAAGTAATATAAGCCAGATGCCAAAGAATACATACTGTAAGCTTCCACTTATATAAAGTTCAAAAATAAGCAAATTGACTCTACAGTGTTAGAAGTTAAGATAATGGTTTTCCTTGGTGGGGAGAGGTCATGGTATTGACCAGAAGGGGGCAACCTGGAGGGTTGGCAATATTTTGTTTCTTGATCTGGATGCTGGATTCTCTGGATGTATTTCCTTTGTGAAACTTCATCAAGACATGTATTTATAATTTAGGCTCTTCTCTGTATTTGTGTTATACTTCAACAAAAGTTCAACAATAGCCACAAATAAGTCTAAGCAATAGAAATGGAGTGACCTGTGTACGAGCTCACATGTATAATGACAAAATTTAGGACTGGAACACATGCAATAATTTTTTTAATACAAGACACGTTTAATCCATTTAATGAGTTGCAGATGAGGTTAAGGCACATCCTAATAGTCAACACATGACATGTGGTGAAATATTATTGTGCAAGATAAACAATAGATGGTTTAGTGATCAAAAGACATACTAAAAATAAAAATAATGACAATGGAGCCAGCATTTCCCCATTGTGGATGAGCCATCTATTGCTAGTTGCTTGGCAGAAACATTTTGGATTGCAGGAGACTTTGGATTTTAGAAGGAGAATTAGCTGGTAAAACGAGCCAGAGATGACAAATTTGACAGAAATCAATTTCCTTTCCAATTCTTTGTTCCAAAACCAAATTTTCTAGTTGGAGTAGATGAAGAGGATCGCTGGTTTAATTCTATGGCGTGTGATACTGATATATAGATTTTCTATGAGCCACTCATGTTTTTAATTGATGAGCCTCAGGAACTAATCACCTGCGAGAGGTCTGATAAAATCCAGTTTTTGACTATGGAGAGTTAAAACTCCTTATGATTCTATCACAGCTAACTCTGGCATTTGATAGAAATATCTAAATACCAAAAATATCAAAGATCTTTAAGTCTGAGGTGATGGAAGGCTACTTGATTTTATACCAGAATTATTTTCATGATATACATCTGAAGCCAAAGGGTTGGCGGTACTAAAAGTTAACACAACTTTCGCTCATCATACATCCATGTCACCGGCAATTATCAGCGCTGGATTTGTAAGCAGAGTCAAAATCTAACCAACAGTTACAGAAACAAAGCAGGACGTTGGTTGAACTGTTGTAAAAGGGCCGGCTGATATTAAGTGGACCATGGGAAAACTGTTTGGAAGTTGACATCTCTATTCTTGAGTCACAGCTGCCCAGGGATTCAGCTACTGATGAAGAACAGGCTTTGGAATGAGTAGATGAGGTTCTCTGAGCCTCAGTCTCCTGACTGGTAAACTGCAGAACTCAGGTTAGAAAATCTTTATGATCCATCATTGCCTGGAAATGACTTTAGGCCAAGCATGTAGTGCACTGTCTTTTCAACATGCTTTCACTCCTGTTGCTTCAAACCTTTGTTTACTTTTCATTGAAATGGTAGCTCTGAATGGCTTTCCAATGTGTGGAAATAGGGTTATTACTGAGATGTATTTTTGCCCACAAATCCAGACAACATAAAAACCTAGACATGAAGATCTAACGGGCAAAAGCAGCCGCTTCCACTCTATGCTTGCTTTTGATTGAAAGAAATTTTCATCCACTGGACTCTATTTGGTTGCTCAAAGATAATATTTCAAGGTACAAAGGGAACACCAGCCAAGGATTATCCACACTTCAAGAAGGCAAGTCTTGAACAGACATCACCAAGGCCTGACTGGACAACCGCATTTGCCTGCCTTTATCTTTCGTCATGGTTTTTGTCCTAGCCTCAAATAAAACTTCTCTACTGAAGCATCAGTTTGGTTGCTGTTACCTGGACAGTGCCACAAAGGTGAAAAATAAAATGATTGATGTTTTTATGGAAGATAAAGATAATATTAGAACCGTGGAATACTGGAGCTAGCAGAGCCTTATTTTTTAAGTTGATAAAGCTCAGTACTGGAGAGTGTAATGATTTGTGTAAGGCAACAGATCTGGAGCAAGAACCCAGGGTTGCTGACTGCCAGTCCAGTTTTCCTTCCATTCACAAACGAGTAAGACACGAAGTAGGATCTTAGCACAGTGTCACATGTAGCATTATCCTCTATTAGGGTTTGACCAAGTTGTCTTCTTAATGTAAATAATTCTGCCTTCCAAGCTGACAGCTCTGCTCATACTAAATTCACCGAGATCTCTAGCTATGAACACTAGCTTGGAAGTGCCATTTGTGAGGAATCACACCACAGACAGACAAGAAACTACACTGCCTCGAAATCTTCTTAGTGAAACAAAAAGTGATTTGAGTTTGTGTGTGGAGGGGTACCTCTGAGTCATAAAACTGCCAGTAGGAGAAGACAAATGAGATGGATTCTTATAGCTGTTGCATTCTTGGCCCAATGACTTGGAAAATGGCAACCCTCTCTTCCTCATTATCAGGTAAAAATAGTAGGCTGACTGGGCAAAGATCAGATAACCCCAAACAGCAGATAACCAAAGGAAAGTATTTATTTCTACATGGTTTTAGAATGTGCATTGAAATTTGGGCATGGGATATTTATTGTCATGTTACTTTCCAAGGTTCTAAAACACAAGATTAAAATATACGAATGAAGTAGAGACTCCAGAAGAACCCAGAAGCTCTGATCAGGGAGCCCAGTCTCTGTCCCCCTGCATTATCATCGAGGCGTGGTCTATACAGAAGGTGACCCAGGGAGCTGCATTTACCTGTTGTACTTCTCTCCCTGCCATGGTCTTTTGATTAGATCCTTCCATATTGAAGATGACATACTTTAATAATAATTAATAGGGATTTATGTGCCAGTGTGTAAATGAGTGTGTTTTTGTTCTTCAAAAATGTCTCTGTCCGTAGAGTGCCTTGTGAAAGCAAACAGCCTGGTTAAAAAGTGTATAGAAGCGGCAGATAACTGTTTGGGCCCATGATTTCAATAGCTGGTGGGTCCTTTTAAACCAGAATCTGTAGACTCAGCAAAAACCCATGAATTCTGACACCTGCTTTTCTAAAAAAACCTGGGGTTTGGAATGATAATTTAGCTCTGGAAGTACATGTATTTTTCTTTTAAGAAGAGTGTTGCCCAACAGTATTTACAGTCCAGGGTCCACGGCAACACCACAGATCTCCAAATGAAAAGTTCACTCTGATTTTCAGACTGGCCAGATGTCAAATGAACTCTGCTTTTCCTGAGGAGGCTGGAGCATCATGTTCCAGAGTCTCTGACCTGGGACCAGGAATAAACGACTCTCAAACCTCCTAGAGCATTTGTTCCCTTCCCTACAAGATGTTAAAATCCGGACCCAAAAAGTTGCTCTTCCTTCGTCTGAAAAAATGATGAAAACAGTGGAATAATGATCTTTTATATTTCTAATGATAAGAGTGCTAAAAAATGTGCATTCTTTCCCCGGTTCAATCATTTAATAAGAAGTATGCCCCAGAGAGCAAACCAAATAATTGTAACAGAAGTGAAAACTGCCATTTACTGTGCACTCCCCTCCCCAAGCCACCCCTCTTCCTCAGTGGCAGACACCCTACAGGTAAATGTGTGTGTGTCTGTGTGTCTGTAATGTCATTCAGTCTCCATGACAACCTACAACAGACATCTACTACCCAGACAAAGCACTGAGCCTCCGAAAGGTTACCTAAGCAGCCCAAAGTCACAGAGCTGGTCTCCAGAGGGCCGGGTTCTGAATCGAGGTCTGCCCATCCCAGTGCCCGCAGGTTGCCACAGGTCAGGCAGAATGAGAGAATCCGTGTCAGTGCAACCAATACCACGGCACCCGAAACCCTGCACCGGCAGCGAGGTTAGAAGGCAGCTGAGAGGCAAGGAAGTCTTTAAAGGCATCTATCACGTCATAACCCTCATCCAGACAATGAAAAGAAGGGACACACACAACTCCCACCTCCTTCCCGGAGGCCTGCCTTGGGTCGGGGACGAGATACTCAAAGGCCCTGAGCCCCCAGTAGAGAGGGGGTTTCTCCCAGTTAGAAGTTCAGTTCTACCTCTGTGCGTTCTGAATAACCAGGAGAGAAGGACAAAGTTTCACAACACATCTGAGCGCCAGCGCATTTACTACTTGGTTCACTGCCCTTAAAAAATCCAAAACAAAACTTGGCTTGAAACATGACCATTATCCTAGAGCATCAGTATTTTTCCACTTCAGGGACAGGCCGCCAGCAAAATCAATCATCATCAGCTCCAGCTTTTTTTCTCTTCTTTTAAGTTTAAACTTGATAAATTCAGAACCAAAATACTGTAGAGGATGCATTCTACCAACAGTTCACTGGGCATGTGCTATGGGTCAGTTCTGCCCCTAGATGCTGAGGATTCGGTTCACCATTAGGTGAACAAAACCCAGAATCTCTGCCTGCACAGACTTTAGAGTCCAGCGCATTATTCCGGAAGCTTCTTTATTTAAAAGAGCATATTTTAGATGAAAATACTATCTGCATTCTATAGCCATGGCTGAGACTGGAAAGGAGACCTACGCTTTTTGGCTATATAAAAAAATCCTTCTGTGAACATAAACTTCAAGCTTCTTTATACCTGCTCTTAAGAATTTGTTGTACTAGGTTCTTGACAACATTCTGAACGGAAGGTTACTAAGAGTAACTGACAAGGATATCTGATCACAAGTTCCGTACGGAGGAGCGCAGAAGCCTCTCATGCTGCCGTCTCCCCCAGGACTAAAGACAAACATTCAATAAATGCTTGCTGAACAACAAATTGGCCCCGATGCTTCCTGTTGTGATGAAAAGGCACAGCCATGTTCCAGATTGCTCACACTTTTGGTTCTGAAGGGCAGCTGGAACTTCTCTACAAACATTGGCTGCAACTGCACTGCAGGGGTTGAATTTTAGGGCAGATCATTCTAATTTAACACTTTCATTTTAGGGATAAGAATGCCTACAGCCAGTGACAGCTTCTGGGGACAGACCTGGGGACAGGGAACCAACCTATACGCCCTCCACCATATTTCCCCTTGAAGCAGGACACTAGTATCTAAATTTCAGTTGCAAACTAATTTTTCTTGGGAACTCAATTAAATTCAGCATCTCCTAGACAGTGAAACTCTCTTGTTGGCTTAGCTTTCAGAAAGCTTAGTTACGGTGAAAATATATAGTAACCTCCTAAACATTAGGGAACCTCATTTGCAAAATACTGAACATTTGAAGATCCATTTCTAAAGGCAGATAATTCACCGCAATCAGAAAATTCAGTCTATTCACATACCGGCCGTCCATGAATGCTTTCATAATACAACAGAGCTTTCTGCAGAGCCACTTTCTCATTTGCAATCTGGTCTTTGGTCATATCCTGTATAAACACAAGGATAGAGAAATGAAGGAGGGGGAAACATTTGTGAACATTCCAACTTCTTTATTTAGTTAAACAAATTTCCTCAAGTTAAAAAGAATCCTCATACAACAGCTCTCTATGCCTAGCTCCAGTCCCTAGCTCTACCCCAAGCCCACATAGGAATTAGCTATTCCTGACCTCCTGCTGGAAATACGGATAGCACAGCAGAATCATCGTCAGCCACTTGTATCTCCCACACGCAGCAAAGGCATGTTGAATACTGAGGTAAGCAAGGCTGAGGTACACGGGGCTTAGGTGAATGGCCCACGCAATGACCACAGTTACAGGTTACCAGTCCCAAAGGTTTGCCTGTAATCCTCCTACGTCAGAGTCACCAAACCGTCTATTAACCTAAACAAGTTCATTCTGCAATCTGTACAATAGAGTTTCCTGCTTTCAGTTTTTAGTCAAAAACTAAAGTGCCTACAGTTAAAACCCTCTAAAGTTGTTTCATCTGCTTCTCTAGACATCTAAGAGTATGCAAATGTGGGAGTGGGAGGTTTAAAAAGGAGTCACTCCATCACTCTTCCCATTGGGATCCATGTGCACGCCCTGTGTTTCTACCATGTTGACTGGAATGGTTTAGGATGAGCAGTCAGCTTGGGGCCTTCACAGAATCAGCACACCTTAATGTCCTCGGGACGGCTGCTTTCTGCCCGCTTCTCCTGGAGCTTCCTCTGGATAGATTCCAGTGTGGCTTCAACACTTGGTTTTATCGCTTTATCTACCAAATCTTGCTTCTTCTCTTCTTCTTTCTCAAGTTGGGAACCAAAACTCTTGGGGAGCGTGTTGCTTCGCTGCCGCATCCTGGGGCTTAGGTCCTCTTCAGATATCTTTAGCTTTGACTCTAGTTGAAAAGATTTAGGGGTAGAGCTATATGAGAATTGATGTCTGCTGAACACACATTGTTTTTCTGTGGTGTTAACAGCTGCTTAGCCCTGTCTTTTTTCAGACTATCTAATTATAATATTAGTTGAAAACTCTAGGTTATTACGTAAAACCCGAGATAATGATAACGTCTTCCTAGACTGTCTGGGATGTTTCACTAACACTAATTCCTGAGAAAGCTTTAGCTATTTAGCATCCATGCTTTGGCCACACCAACCTGTTTGCTTTCTCAGAATGTGGCAGATGTCCTCCTACACTGTTCTCTTAGTGTTTAAGGGTATTTACTGATCTAACACCCAACCACTGGCCAACTTTCTCTATATGACATATACCTCCTCTTGGAATTCTGTCACTTTGTATTCTGCTTACTTGTTTACATGACTCTATCTCCTAAAGGACAGCAAGCTCTTTGAGGGACAGGGACCCTTTCCAGATTCATCTTCGTGTCTCTACGCTGTCTCCAACACCACAGCACATAAACCTTGGAATAAACAGGTACTTAAGTGTTGAACTGAAGCCATCATCCTTATATTGGTGACTTCAGGAAGTGAAAAAAGCCTGCAGAATTTGCATCTTAGCTGCTCTGGGACTGCCCTGGGATTAAGACCATGGGAAGACATGGGGAAGGCGTCCCCTGAATACGGAGAGCACTGGGAAGCCGCTTCAAGGAACCCGTCTTTTCTGGAACGTTATAGCAGTGCCGTTTGGCACTCGGTGAGCCCACGGACTCTGCGCCTGGATCATTTTGTGGAAGCCATACCCTAGGTCCAGACCGTCACCCACCTTTAAGTTGTTTCCGGAACTTGGCAAGGTCATTTGTCCATTTCAGAACCTCTGGATTGGCTGCTTTGTCACTGTGGGAAGGCTGAGAAAAGGAAATCCAGAGTAAATGCTTTGGAATTGGAGCAGGAGAAAGAAGAGTTTGATGATCAGTTGGTTTCAAACAGGAAGGAAAAGTTGAGTTCCATGGGGATAGGAAACAAACGCTGATCAGTCAGAGCAAACTTCGCAGGGATAATCCTGTTATCCTTTTTTACACCTGGTGATTTTTGATGCTTTCAAAGAAGTTCTCAGAGGCAAAACACTGGACTTGAACGATCACAGACTTTTATGAGACCCACGGTCCCTTTCCAGTAGTTGTAGGGCTCAACCCATCAGGCAAACAGAATAGAAAGCAGAGGCATCTGTGATATTTGACACGCAACCACCAAAGACAGTGCCCTTTTGCCACCCTGGAGGAAAACACTAAGGACAGAGCTGAGAGGTGAATGAGGTGAAGACAATCTTGAATTAAGTTTCAGCCAAATGAGACTTCATTTAATGAGTTTTCCCATTCCTGCTCACTGGTAAATTTACAAAATGTAGACTAAAGCATTCAGTTTATTGTAAAGAAATATGAAAGGAATATGTAAGGAAATTTGCAAGGAAATATTCAAGAAAATGCTGATCCATGATATTTGGGGTTTATCACCCAGTTTTTATTGCCTTTTGTTTTGAGATTCCCTGGACATCTCCCTTAAGCTCTATTGCTTCTCTACGTTGCTGAGGGGCTGGCAGGGCGGGGAGAGGGGAGGCGGAGAGAAGCCTGCGGGGAGGCACTTACTCTGTACTTCCTCTCTTCTTCAAATCTGTCTTCAAACTTTCGGATCTTCTTTTTAAGGCTCTGAATCCTTCGCGTGAGCTGGGCAGGTGTCAGGTCCTCTTGCTCATCATCGTAGGACCCCAGGGAGGAGCTGCGCCGCCTGTGAGGGGCACAGGGTGGGTCAGTTTCCCCGAGGGCAGTCAGCCTGCTGGCAGGGGCTTCGGGGATGAGAGACAAGGCATGCAGGGAGAACGTCCAAACAGTCTCCATCCTCTCGAATACAAAATGTTGACCACTAATTCATTTTGTGAGCTCGAGCTCTGTATGTCCCACCTATGAACAGGTCTTATCTTCTGCAGCTCACACTCACAATTAGCAAAGTCAGGACTGAAATGTGAGGTGCAGACTTCAGAATTAAATGTGACAGTGCTTTGGAAGGGAGATGCTAATGAAAATTCGCTCTGTGAGGTTGTAGCTGGGCCACAGTTCAACTGAAAAATTACAACAGGGCCTGTGTACTAGGATGGAGACTTTCAAACGTGTTCCTCCACAGACTTATAACTTAATTAAAAAACTACTAGCCATCAGCAACATCCCTAACCTTTCTAACGTTACAGGGGTGATACACTTGCTTATCAGCAACACAAAGAAACACACCTCATGAAAGAATGGGAATTTGGAGGAGAAGGAGGCACTTCTGTGTCATCCAGGTATTGCCTACTCTGCCCATAAGCGTAGAACCGAGGAGAGAGCATGGGGTCGCTGTCCTCATCCAGAAGCTGACGAATCAGGCGCCCGGCCTGCGGGGAGAGGCGCGCCTCGTCAGAGTCCACGCTCCCCTGCTGCCACAAGGAGAAAGCAGGGATGGGCTCTGGAAAATAACGAGTGGAAGAGGTCAAAATTATCCTTGAAAGCACAATTGCTTCTCAAGTTTTCTGAATGCATTACGAGGCACTGAATTCAGGAGGCACTGAACGGTTTCTCATTTTAGATTTACGGTTCAGCCTAGGGACACTATGCCCTGACCAGAATCATCAAGTATATCTAATGGCCATCACCGGCTCTGTCTCCATCCTCACTTGCTAAGGCTGCCCTGAGGAACAGCCTTGAAGGAAGGGAGCCAACAGTGTATGCTTCCAACTTGCCCTGCAGACCACTGACAAGAGCTTTTCCACGTGAGGGCTTGATGGAAAAGAAATGCCAGAGGGTCAGGGAGGGAGAGATTTGGCATCACGGCTACACACCCTCCACTGAAACAACTAAGGGATCACATTCATCGTGTGAGAGCCCATTTCTTTAGAAGTTCGTGCCTTCCGTTGAGGTCACTCAGTAAGCTGTTTCGTGTGCTTCTGCTTACTGTGGTGGGATTAGCAAGTTTAAGATGCATGCTTTGCACTCGAAACTTCAGAAGTTACTCAAGACTACAGTTAAAGTAAGATGCACACATAAATTAGCCAAAAAAAGAAAAAAAAGAACACCTTACAAAGGACAAATCTATATAAATTATTTTAGACAGTCTTTAAGAAAAAAACATACTCAGCACAAAATCCTGATTTGTCATTTGGGGAGGGAATAGGGTGATATTTATTCTATTTACTGCAAGACCTATCTCAATATATTCCTTTTCTCTCAATATATTCCTTTTCTCATTAAAAAAAAAATCCTATCTAACATATTTTAAAGATAGATCTGAGATGATGTATGGTATTTCATTTGTAATACTCTCTACATTAAAAAAAAAGTTATGCTTTAAATACACATGTGGATTACTGTGATTTATACAAGGCTGGAATCTGGCCATGATCTTATATTCTGAGATTCCTCCAGTTTGATTCATGGAACAATTGCTCCTTCAGCTATCAAGGTATTTATAAAATCTACAAAATCATCTTAAATAAGTTCTTAGTACTTTATTTTTAAATATCATATTACAATCATAGAACATTAGAGTTGGTTGAAACTTCATATATCATCTAATCTAGTGATTTCTCACCCCGGGCTTCATATTAGTGCCACAGAGAGAGATATAAATAACTCCTAAGGTACTCCCACCACCCAATTAAACAGAATTTTTATGTGAGGGCTCAGATATACAGTACACATATACATACTTTTTTTTTTTTCTAATTTTGCTGAGGCAGATTGGCCCTGAGCTAACATCTGTACCAATCTTCCTCTATTTTGTATCTGGGACGCCACCTCAGCATGGCTTGATGAGCCGTGTGTAGGTCCACGCCCAGGGTCCAGACCCGCAAACCCCAGGCCACCGAAGCAGAGCTCATGAACTTAACCACTACACAACCGGGCCAGCCCCCCCAACACGTTTAAAACTGCCCGATGATCCTAAATGGAGTCAGGTTTACGAACCACTAATTCAGCCCAAGAGATTACAGATAAGGAAACTGAAACTCAAAGAAGTTAAGAGCAAATACCTAATCAATCACAAGAGTTGGGACTAGCAACCAAATCTCCCGACCCCCAGGACAGCGCTGCAATTTAGAAGGTGGCAGGTGCTTCAGTAGCAAAGACGACTGTCTGAAATTTTTCAAGACCCCACAGCGTGGTAGGAGAGATAAGAAGACTAATTAAAAAAAAGTCAACCTTATATGGAATGAGGTCCATAGGTTTTCAAAATTTAAAGCGTACCAAGTTATCTGGGAACACAGGCAATACTATAAATATTTTGAAAAATGAAAGCAGTGTTAAAGACAGATTCTTGCCTACTGAGTTTCCAAAAGTGGCAGAGACTGCTGGCAGATGCACTGGGCTAAAGCTGGAGACGAACAGGAGTTGCTTCACCATTTGTGCTAACGCTATCAGCTGGCTCCTCCTCAGTGGCAGGGCTCAGATCTGAGCAGCTCAGAAGTGCCAACAGAAGAGAGTAAAATACGGATGGAGAGGTGAGGGAAGACAGGGTGAGTGGAAAGTAATCCCTAGAAAAATAATAAAAATGTAGTGTTCAGCTGCAGAAAATGGAGCTATTAAGCCGACCAGGTTGTGTCTTCTATTTCATGATATTTCATAAGACAGCAGTAATTTTCTGCAAGGACTAAAATCTCTGCAGCCAGAGCGAGAAAATGGTTCAGATGGCTTGAACGGTAATGCAGCATGCAATAAGCACACCACACACTGACCAGGAACAAAACAGGGAGGGGTGTCAGGGGGGCAAGGTGGTTTTCGGGGACAGAGGGCACGGCAAAACAGCCTGATGCTGATGTTGGCATATGGCTGTGCTGGCTAGTCTGACATTTCTACGCATCAAAACTTAATTTGAAAAGGTGACACATTAGATCCTGAAGCCCTTTAATTTGTCTGAACCCAGTGGAATATCTCTTTAAAAATGTTACAACTAATCTTTGACTTAAGTTTTCAACTATGTGGTCTCTGTATACAAAAGATTTTGCAAAAGGAAAAGTAAAGGGGGCTGGCCCCGTCGCCGAGTGGTTAAGTTCGCGCGCTCCGCTGCAGGCGGCCCAGTGTTTCGTTAGTTCGAATCCTGGGCGCGGACATGGCACTGCTCATCAGACCACGCTGAGGCAGCGTCCCACATGCCACAACTAGAAGAACCCACAACGAAGAATACACAACTATGTACTGGGGGGCTTTGGGGAGAAAAAGGAAAAAAAAAAAATAATCTTTAAAAAAAAAAAAAATTTTTTTTTAAAAATAGGGGGCTGGCCCTGTGGCCGAGTGGTTAAGTTTGCACACTCTGCTTCGGCGGCCCAGGGTTTCGCCAGTTTGAATCCTGGGCGTGGACATGGCATCGCTCGTCAAGCCATGCTGAAGAGGCATGCCACATGTCACAACTAGAAGGACCCACAACTAAAAATACACAACTATGTACTGGGGGGCTTTGGGAGAAAATGGAAAAATTAAAAAATAAAATTAAAAAAAATAATTTTGCAAAAAGAGTGTGTCTCTGTGACTGTTAAGCAAACATGTCTCCAGTAGAAGACACTGTGTGATCCTGAATTAACTACAAAATATTAATCACAGGACTGAGTTACACTTGGTTGATGCTTTGTCACTAACACAGGGCCATCCATCAGATTTCCTTTTTTTAATGCAGCTGTATTTTGTGGCTCCATTCTTGACCAATCGCTTCACTGACAAGAAGACCAAATGTGTCGTTTTCCTAGTGTCACCAGTGGTATATGAAATATACAGCTTAAGAAATTCTAGCTTATGGGTGACATTTTCTCTTAAATCATATAGTTACCATGAATGAACTCATCTGGTTAAAAATGAGAAATGTAAAACCATTATGAATTTCAACCTTAGCAAAATAAGAAGGGATGTTTCAACATTAGTCTGCATGTAGAACAGAAGTGGTTTCTCACCTACAAGACATGAAATGCTTATATGATTTCTCTCTTTCCTTTTCTTCTACAGTCTTATAGTTTAAGACTCCTATTCAAAAGAGTTATAAAATTACATGCAACATATAGCTTAATATAACTAAAGAATCAATAAAGCCCACTATTCCTTTGTTTTAGTCTAAACTGATGTAAAAATATAAGGCTAGCTCCTATTTTGATAGTTGGCACTCAAATAGAAAAATAAGAACCAAAAAGACCAGTGTGGTACATGATAGTACATCCAAAGAATCACCTGCCTAGAGAGCCAGTTTTGAGGGTGCATTCATTCTCAATTTTGAGGGTGACATTTGCAATTGCTAGTTGGGGAAGTATTTTAACCAGTAATTTAAGAGCAATGAAACAGACAAGGATATTGCAAGAAAATTATTCAAAGAGAAAACAGAAAAGATTTGAGGCTCCAAATTGGATTCTGGACCAATTTTTCACACAGAAGTAGGACATGTCTCTCTATTAAAAATTAATCCACCCAGGTCAGCTGACATCACAGAAGGTCAGAAATAACAGAGAGAAAAGCCGTATGCTTGCTATCTAAGCATTAAGAAGACTAGATCCTGGGGGAGTTCCAATTCAGATACTTCAGTACACATGGAAATAAAGGAAATTCACTGTGGAAGGCAGGACACGGCTCTGACTAACGCTAATGTGGTCGCTGGGACATAGCTGCTCTCTGCTTACCTGGCTGGATCCATTTACTATACAAAAGACAACTGGCTACTGAGATGATTTATTTCTAAGAAATCTGTACAGAGTTAAGGAAGCTGATGTTTTCCACATCTCATTTCCAACTGTATGTTATTTAGTTATTACTACCTGGCATGATGTCATACCGTCCTTCAAGGAGCCTACTCAGTACTGTCGGTACTTGTACACCCCAGACATGAAAAGATGGAATCCTCATGTGGGAGGTTCTTTACTTGGGGAATCCTTTCATAAAATTTTCCTCAGTGGTTCCAAATTTTAACCTTAGCACAATGGTAGTCCTATTAAATTGGTCAAGTTGTCTTGCAAACTGTCCGAATTAGGAGGAACCTTAGTAGTCAGCTTTATCAATCCAAACTTAACCCTTAAATTTCATGTGTCTGCTTTGTCCCGATTTACCAATTTAATAAGCAGGCCCTCAATAGCTCCATTTAAGTCATTAATAAATGTGTGGAACGGGGGAGGGCTGAGGACTTTACTAATGAGAACACCCCCATTCGTGTTGACTTCGAGCCACACATTTGCATATTTGAATGAGTTGCTTAATGAGTTACTATCCCTTCTCCATCTCTGACAAGGCTATCGTAAGTCCCTGCTAAGGGCCCAGCTGAGGGCTGTTCAAATGCACCATTTCCCCAATCCTGAGTCAGAAAGAAAGAAGGGAGGATGGTGTGCATGATCATCTTTGGTAAATCTGTGGAGGACCTAACAATTACTGATTTCTCTCAGGCGTTCAGAGCCATCCATGGTCATTAGGCAGAACTGGGCTCTGCTTTCAAAGAAGGCAAACTTAGGCTGGTTTTTCCTGAAACCATACTTGGAAACATTTATGGAAGATAGTAACAACATCAGCTAAAACTCGCATAGTGCCTACTATGTGCACACACTTTTCTGAGCACTTTGCACATATTAGCTCATTTAATCTCTGCAACAAACTTACTAAGTAGATACCACTGTGTCTATTATTCACTATTATCTACTGTTATACCTATTTAAAGATGGGGAAGTTGAGGCCAAAACTGAGACATGTTCACTAACTTGTCCACAAAGCTAGTTAAGTGGTAGAGTCAGGATTTGAACTCAGGATGCGTCTGGCTCTTGCTTAACTGGCACTGCTTAGAAAGAGGCCTCCAAGTGCAAGTTAGGAGACTTTGTTATCTTGAATCATGACTTTGCCTCCTTTGGCCTCAGCTTTCTTTTATCTGTATAATGGGAAGGCTCAAATGGAAGACCTTTAAGATCTCTTGCTTCTTTCTCATTCCTTCAGAGAATTTCCCTTTCAAAGTTATTTTCTATAAGTAGTAAGTGATGGATGAGATATATTAAGTATTTTATGCCCTTTTAAAAATGTTCTTTTAAACTTAATTTCACCAGGACAAGTCTAATAAGATAGCTTAGTGTTGAAACCTCAGCACTTCCACAAATGATATCCTGAAATCAACATGAATTGGCTGACCGGGAACATCCTAATTATGCAACTCTTAAGAGCTTTAACTAACAAAGAATAGTACATTTGATTTGTGTATTCATTTAATTTTGGAGAGTGGAAACCATAATAACAATAATAATAGAGTCATGTGGATAGATCAAATAATGCGTCCTAATACATAGCTACATATAGAGGGGGAAAAAGAAGATAAAGCATGTATCATTGATCTGCCAACAAGCATGGTTAGACTTTGATCCTACATGGACACACTATGTAGGCTATGGAATCTATTTATTAGTTTTATTTCCCTTTTGCTCCCCTGATACAATATGCCCCAGAAGCCAGAGAACCTCATTCCCATATGGCAGCACACACCGCAGGGGCTAGTAGCCAGCAGGCTGCTCATTAAATACTATCTCACCTGATATTCCACGATTCTACATGGATGTGAGAGTGTGGACCATGGCGAGGGCACTGAGAACAAGCAAGCAAACCAAAAAGAGGGGGTTACACTACAAGCTGGCTTGGAAACTGGCAAAGGAGACCTACAGCCTGATATTGGTTCATACGGTTTTGGTAACTATTACTTCCATTTATATATTCAATTGCATTGGTTTCACATTCACAGTTTAAATTAGTGCAAAGTTTATTCCTTATGGAAAGCCACCATTTTGTTCGTTTCTTACTGAAGTTATAAAAAAGGTGATATTCTAGTGATTGCTCTCATCTCAACTACCCTTTATGCAAAAATTCCTTTATTTTGACTGTACTTATGGCTATATTACTGTTATAATGTAACTTGGAAAATTAAAATAGACATATAATAAAAAATGGCCACTGAAAGCAGTAACCAAATGATCAAAACAGCCTTGAAATGAATCCATGTAAATTTTTAAGAGATGCAAGTTCAATGACAAATGCAGTAACTGGCCAAAAAAGTTAAAGCAAGTCATTTCATAAATTACATGGATAACACAATTCACATTCCCAAGCCTACTGAAAAGTATTTTTCCCCAAATAAGCTTTTTTATTCCATGTAGTTTCCCCATACAAAGTGCTGGTTCCTTCATATTATTATTATTTTTCTGGAACAAAATTCTTCATATTAAGTAATGAAATAGTTTTAAGGAACCTATAAGTTAGATTTCAACCACTCTGGAGAAAATTTTCAGCTTTATATTTAGCCTCTTTAAGTGTGCTGGAAGAGATTATAAATTTACGATTAACCAAGATAAAAATAATCAAACTGAATCCATTTCAAGAGGAGGAGGAGGAGGAATCTACCTGCCCCTTTGGTGAATAAACCATCAGGATAATGTGGCTAATTTGAATTCTGACCCCAAATTCTAGTTTTTATGTAGAGTTTTATGTTAATGATACGCGGAGACCAAATTATTGAAACCCAAATACAGCATTTGTTTTGGCTACTGCTTTTTTCTGTTATTTGGGTGACAGTGGCTACCATGGGACCTTTTTTGTGGTGGTGGGGTGTTGTTTTTGATGTATGAATTAGGAACACACCCGACTACTTCAAACTGCACAAAAGAATAGCAAAACACTGCCCAGGGATGGATCAAATTAAAAGCAAAACAAAACAAAAAACCAGCATTTTTTTCCCCCCCAGTGAACATATCGTGAGCTGGGATGGTCTCACAGAATTGCAGGTCCACTATCCAACTACTGAAAAGAGCTAGAATGTGTTTCTTAGACTGCAAAGAGGGAGAACAAGAATAAAAAACAGTTTGTTTTCGCTTCCCTAAGCCCTGGACGCGAGGGGCATAATGGGGCTATTTTTCACCTTATGGTCCTTTTTGGATCACCGTTTGGTCCTTCACCTGAGATCATCAACACAACGAATAGCTGTAGTTAACAAAAGGGGGAGGCAGAGAAGACAAGGAAACCCAGGTGCTTTTAAAAAAGGCTGGTTTTTCACAGTTGTGGTTCTCTGCTAAGCCATTGTGTTAAGCCACACGGCTGTTCTCAACTCAGGAGCATCATTTCTCCCTCCGTGGAGCCTTCAAACACACATGCTGGAGAGGGCACAGGGCCTTTATTTTGGGTACACACTGATATATGTTGGATGCAGACACGGACAGGGCAAGAGGAGCAGCTTCACGGGACTGCTACAACGTCCTCCCTGACACAGTTTTGACAAAAGGAGGATTCCCTCTTCTTCCTTACAAGTCAATGTCTAACATTTTTGCCAACAATCTCTAGAAAAACCAATCTAAAACACTGTATTACAGGCTTTCAACAAGAAGCACTTTGATTCCGTGTTCTCTTTGATAAGCAAATCCTTTATTTTAGCTAACCTGGATTTTTAAAAACCTACCCATAAAAACAAACAAAATATCCTTCCTGAAGAATGGGAGGGAGAAGGAATGAAGGAGGCCGGCTGGCGTGCAGGAGGGCAAGATCAGTTACACCTAAATGCACACCGCTTGCCTCTACTCTGCTTGGTACTACCAGAGGGAAAACGCATACACTCATCCGCACTCCTGCTGAGTTACAATTAAAGAAAGGACAGCAAGGTGACACTAGAATAGAGAGCAAGCACATTTTCTTTCTTCGATTGCAATTACTCCTGGCAGTGTTAAACGTGACACATTCCTATGGCAGGGAAAGGATTTTTCGGTCATTTAGAAATACAGCTACGTCTGCATGGATAGCGCTCTCTCTCGTACATCCACACGATTACATGCCTCTCATTCATGCTCATTTATATCTGCTTTTCCATTATTAAATCATCCAGGTGTCATTTGAACCTACCTTCCCAGCTTTTCTCATCACACAGTGCAGTCAGGTCCAGCTGGGGTACTTCAGAGACAAAGCTCTCCTGCTGGTCATCGGCATCTTGAGTCCTCTGCAGTTTGGTGTCAGGTAGGCTGGGATGCTCCTGAATCTTCATTGTGGAGCTCTGCAATAACAGCACAATGTCCCCAAATATCTACTGCTCACCAAAACCCAAAAACGTCTGCAGCAATTCCACTCCTTTAGCACGAAACCTCCCAAGCCACAGCTGCTGATGCACCCAGCACAGAAATCACAATCATAGATGGGTGCCCCCTGGATACTAGCTGGCCACTCGCATGCAAAAAGCGACCATCCATCTGCGCTCCTGTAACTTTTCTTCTGTGAGAAACACAAGGTGACTGCCTCGGGCTGCTCTTCCTGATAACTGCAGGCAGCTGACAGTCTTGCAGATTACTGACTGGGGCCAGGGATGAGGGAAAGGAGTTTGTATTTCCTTAAAGCAGTAAGGCTCTCCAGAATGTAAACAACAACAACAAACTAGCTACTGCTGTTGCTAAGGCTGTAGAAGCAACATGGTGTCTTCTGCACGCAGACTTCTTTGCTCCGTAGGTAAACAGTCCTGCAAGCCCAGGAGCAGAGGCTGTGTACACGAATGCTCTCCTGCTGGCCCTGCAGACTCAGACAGATCAATTAAGCGGGGCTAGCTGCACATTCCCAGATTTCCTGTGGTTGTTTTCTCCCTGAGTGTGGGGAGGACAGACTATTTATGGAGGAGCACTGGGTAGTTAAAGCATTGTTGCGCAAATTCAAACAGCACAGGGGTTTGGCGTCTCATCGCGGCTAGCAGTAAGAAATACCGACTCTGGAAATGAGCCAAAATTACACAGGGAACATGGCTTTTTTTTTTTTTAAGCAAAAAGCCAAGAGCTGGCAAGTCAGCGATGCATAATTTATATCTTGCAAATACGCGTGTCACCTGTTTTCCTACTATTCATTTACTCTGAATATAAATACTCAGCTACACTTGGTTTTGCTCATTAGTGGCACCTACACTGGGCTAGGATAGCTGGGGGATGAGAAAACCCTCCCCCCAAGCTGCTATTTTAGAGAAGTGATTTTATGTAAAAAAAAAAGAAATTGCATTGAAATTATGTCTTTTGTACCTTGCTCTTTTGATATCTTGTAAACCCAACCATTGTCACTCCCCCATCTCATAAAATTATAAACATAAGTGTTTATTCACAAATATATTTCTCAAGTAGCACAGATCTGAGCCAAAGATTTTCTTTAAGAATAACTGGAAATTTATCTTAGCAATATACTTCATTAAATGAAAAAACATCTGGAAATCATAAATGATTCCACTAATGTATGAGAAATGTTCTTATGCTTAAAATAAAGCACTAGTAAGACTTGCAGCTACTTTTAATAGCTATTCAACCCACTTTCAGATCACCAGGGGAATAACAGGGCTTTTACTATTATGTTTCCATGAAATGATGCACGAGGACTGGTATTTTCTTTTCATTTGGGATAAAATTAAATACTGTCAATCAGTTAATGACGAGCTACTCAAGTCAGACGTCAAGTACATCTGGGGCGTTAAGACACTTAAAAAATGCTGTTTGTCTATTGGGGAAAAAAACAGATTATGCATTTATGCCACAAAAATTATTTGTTCCTTGAGCTGAATTCTAAGTGGATCAGAGCTCAGCTTTTTAAAAGTTACAGGGTCAATCAATGACCAACTGCTTATGTGTATGTGTCAGAATCCGTATACAGCAGATAAACATTTTCTCAATAAAGATTGCTAAAAAAGGGAAGAAGAAATGTGATCTTATGTTGTAGGTATGGCATTTCCTTTATGAGGAACATGTATCAAGCCACTGACACTGTACCGCAAGGGAGCGGACCTGGATTTTGTGTACAGGCAGACTTGGGTTTGAATGTGACCGACATTTACTAGCTTGGTGCTCTGACTGGGCCACTTCACTTCTCTGAGCCTCCATTTCCTACTTTATAAAATGGCATTAATATAATACCAATCTTGCAAGGTTCCTTTGAAGGTCTGAGCAAAGGTATGAAAGGCCTCTAGCATAGAGCCTGAAGCATAAGAGACACACAGATGGAAGCTGTCATTCTTTTCTTATTATTAGGCACCATATGAAGATAAGTAAAACATTGCCACATCTCCAAATGCTAGAGAGAGCAGCTGGAGATGAGGCATATACGCTGCAACTCCAGGTGAAACGTGCTACAACAAAGGGTGGAGCAGTTTTAGACGCATTATGAAAAAATATTAAAGAGCCACTCCTGTTCCCGTCATGACTCAGCAACAGCAATTTTGATTTGGGGGCAGACAGTGCGGGTCAGAGGGGTCGGGGAGGAACGAGGGGCAAGTGCAAAGGCAGGCCTGAGCACAGGGCCGCTGGGTCACAGCAGGAACAGAGGTTCCGGGCGGCCAGCCCTTGGGATAGGAAGGGCGGTGGCAGATGGTGAGGGTGCGGGATAAGCAGATGCTGGACTGAGAAAGGCCTCGGGGTGCTGGCTAAGTTTGGGTTTTATCCTGTAGTAGATAATGGAAAGCCACTGAAGGACTTAAAGAACAGAGAAATAATGGTCAATGTGTGTTCTCCAGGCTGATGGGAATGAACCCTGGGGGGAGGACCTACAGGCCTGAGAGCTGCAGGCAGCGTCTTCTGCCAGCCCCAGTGCCCAGGCGCTGCCCTGCTCCCTGTGGGCCTGTGTCCCCTCAGGGCACTCAGGAGTCTTGCAGTGCTTGACATGACAGATGGAAAATCCCCAAAGTCCACACACACACACAGACTAATTTAAAACTGTGTACTTTTTATAATTGCTACATCTGAATTAGTGCCAATTTCAAAGAAAATTAAAATGAGATAATTTCTCCTGTATTTTCTTTCTCCAGAATGCATGTATTCATTCCTTCGACAACACGGTCTGGGGCACCCACCTACTCTGTGCTGGGCCCTGGGTGAGACCCACAAGCAGCCTGCGCCGAGAGAGCTCGCATTTCGTGCAGCAGGCTCAAGGATGCTCCGTGGAGCTCTGAGCACAGTGGCTTTTGGTGCAGCACAACAATGGACCACCTTGTCAACCAGAGCAATCGAATGAAGTCTGGGAGTCAGGAATGTAGGAGAGGGCGAGATTACCACCGTGGGAAGTAGGCAGGGATAGGTAACCTCTGTGAGATTCTATTATTCCAATGAGAAATCAGGTCCAAATTTTACTAGTTTATTTAATAATATAATCACATATTATATACAAATCAGGCTGCCTATTATATGTCAGGGGCTAGAGATGCAAAGATAAAATTATTCATTCATTCAAGAAATAAGTTTCAAGTATCTACTGTGTGCTAAGAGTTTTTTAGACAGTGGGGAAACTTCAGTGGACAAAATCAAGTCATTGTCCTAATGAATCTTACAGAAGGGGACAATTAATAAAGAAAAAAGTCAGGTAGTGATCTGGCCTATGGAGAACACGCAGGCAGGGTAGGGTGGGGGTGGAGGTGGGGCCCAGCTCAGCAATTTTATCTCAGGTGGTCAGGGAAGGCCTTTCCAACAAGGTGCCATATGAGCAGAGTCAGGAAGGAAATGAGGGAGTGAGCCATCTGTGGGAAGAGCATTCCAGGAAGAAGGAAAGCACATGTAAACTTATACTATAGACCTATGTTAATCTACATGAGCTTCTGGACTTCCTGGCTGATTTCCGACACAGCAGTGTGGAGGTCCCTCCTACATAAACCCACATGAGCTCACACAGCCATGGACACCCTTGGCACGGCACACACACACCAGCACGTCCACATGCTCTGCCCTGTCCCGCTGTGCTCTGATCGGTCCCTGAGGTTGCGCTTTCACTTGCCTGCAGCTCCTAGAGGCCTGATTCCCAATTTCTGGCCCCACTGGTCTCTGAACTGGACACAGTGGCCCTGCTTGAGGTTGCAGAGTGGACTGCTGGTACATGCCCAGGGTCTCTGCGCACATGGGAGCCAGGGCTGCCGCTCCGTGGCTGCCCATGGTGAAGCTGTTCAGGCTCTGTAGCAATAGCCTAGCATAACAACTACCCTTCCTTCAAATATTAGCCTAGTCTGGGTGAGGCACTCGCCAGGTGGTGCCACACTCTCTAACAGTGCTTATCATCGAGTATTGCACTTGTTATGTGCTGCTTTGTTTCTCTTACTAAATCATTAAAATGCCAAGGACATTCCCAAATACCAAAATATTTTTAGTTTCAACTTTTGTTGTTTATATGTCTTTCTATCTTCAGTTAAATCAGAGGGTTCATAAATTAATTTCCCAATTTGCAACTCAGAGCTCCTTTGCTGTGATGTCACACACCAAACCCTTGTCCAAAACGATGTGCCATACGAAACCACACTAAATGTTCACATCCTGAAATAAACGGAGTGTTTGGCTCTTCGGAGAGACGATATGGTGTGGCAGACAGGGCTGGGTTTTAGAGGCAGAGAACTCTGGGATCTTTAGTGAGAAAACCTCTTTGTATTTTAGCTTCCTTTTCTCTAATACAGGAACAAGACTTCATAAAGTTATTGTGAGGATTAAATGAAAAACATGTATAAAAGCAGCTAGCCCATAGTAACTGTAAAAGAAATGTTATTTGCATTTATGCCCTACCTCCCTTTCCTGGTCATTCATTTGGCAAGTGTTTACTGAACACATACTATATCCTAGGCACTGGAATTACAGAATTAAGATAATGGTCACAAGAGAAAAAAATTTACTCTGTATGGTGATGGATGTTAACTAGACTTGTGATCATTTTGCAATATATGCAAATATCAAATCATTATGTTGTACTCCTGAAACTAATAAAATGTCTTATGTTAATTATATCTCAATTAGAACAAACATAAGATAATGGGATTTAGTGTAGAAGGGAGACACTGAACACATAAGTGCCAAGTGTCATGCATGTTCTCAAAGAAATACACAGGATGCTAGGGGGCAAATAGAGAGAGAACTCGCCTTGCCTGGGGCCTCTGGTGACATTCTTCGTTCAGGTGAAGGAACCATTAACTACTAGTCTATCTATCTGATCTTTGTCAAGACTTATCCCTGTCTAGCTGGGTCTGGCCTATCCCCAGACTCTGTTGCTCCTGCTCCTTCCTTGGCTTCACAGAGTTGGTGGATTTTTGTTCCATCCCTTCTCCTGCCCTGCGCAGGATATGGATAAGCAGCCTAACTAACAGCTTACCAGAGCCAGGAACGACAGTATCCCAGAGTGTCCTGTATAATGCAGTTTGCACAGGAAGGAACCACACAGTGGCAACAGAACCACCACACAGAACAGAAACATTTACTGTTTGGCCTGACCATAAAGGAAAATGGACAAATTTCCAAAATCCATGGGAACTGCAAAGCTTCAGGAACCTTTTGAGACTGGATGGAATTGGAAGTGAATCCAAACAGAGTTTTTAAATTTTTCTGGTTCTAATATTAAAACCAATAACAAAATCCTAAAGCTTCCATGAAATACAGTGAAGTTGAAATAAAAGAGTCATCCATTTCATAAACACTTGTTGATGGATATTTCAGAATCCATCTCAAACCTTCTTAGGGCAAATAAAAGCCTACATTTAAGATCTTGTGATCATTAATATTAATTCTCAGTCTTGACTGGAAAGCCTTATCTTCTTTCTTTTCTCTTTCTCCTCTTCTTTTTAAGCAGGATAAAAAAAAAAAAAGGGAAATAGTCTTTTGTTTATTATGAATGTCTTGTTTGTTATCAAAGGTATGCTTCTAAGCTCTTCTAAGCAGTAGGCTTAGAAAGCATAAAGAATGTAAAAATATCTTGAAAGAATTTAACACTTCATCAACTTTATACTTCTGACATAAAATGACCTCTCCCAGATAACGTAATGCCCTTCCATGTCATTAATAATTCTTACAGATTTTGCTTTCTTGACAAACAGATTAAGGATAAGGCTGGATTTCACACAGAACCATTAAATATTTTCACAATAGAAAATAACTTATTGGAAGGAATCAAATTGAAGTGTAAGGTATGAACTCCACTGTAAACAGAGTTCCGAAAATCTGTATTTTCAGTGATATCTTTAAGAATCTAGAAATTGCTAGCTTTAAGGATGACCTTTTTTCTGGATACTTTCAGTTGTTAATTGAATTTAAAAACAAACAAAAGAACAAAGACTCTAGATGCCATATGCTCAGGGTTCTTCCTTATGATTTCTCATTTGATACAGTCCAAACAGGATATTTTATTAAAATGTCGGCCTTTCCAAAACCTACCCGAAGAAGTCATACTCTAATTTTTGGCATTTTGAAGTGACTTTTTTTCATTGGCAATATGTCACTAAACAAATTTTAATACAAACCACATGACAAACTCAGATGAAATAGAAAATAGATAACTCTCATTGACCATGTGAGATCTCAGCAGACTCTCTTTTTGGATAAGATTAGTTGCACAATTGAAAGAAATTAAAAAGATGTGCCACAAAGGGACAAGCCCATGTTCACTTTTCAACACATTCATTCAAACAAAAACACATTTAAGGCTGCAAGTGATTATTTAAAAGACAAAGTCACAGTAGGCCTGCATTTGCCTATGAGAAGCTGACTCTAAGTGGAGCCTCTCCCCGCACATCCACCCCTCTAAGGAGGGTTTCTGAGGCTGAAAGCGACTGTTCCTCATTTTAATGGAAATACCAGTCAAAACAAGAAGGACAAACCACCTTTCCCTAACAGCTGTCATTTGCTGTATTATCTTATATGAATCTGAGAGTTTAAAGGACAGTATTAATGAGGACAAAATCTGCCTCAACGGAAAACGAAACTGGAAACATTGTCATATCCATTTATAGAGGGCACGTAAATTTTGGCATCTTGATATGATGCTATATGAGACTTAAGTAAAATACTGGCTAGACAGAATTCTGGGAGGGGTAACCAAAGTCCAGACTTAGTTTTCACATCTGAAATTTAAGAATTATTGTGGTATTACCAGAAAACCAGATTAACTAGTGTGTTGTATAATACCTTCCAGAAAGTGCTGCATATATTCAAAGTAAGAAATTACAATACACTTTAAGTAGGGAAAGAGCTTTAAAAATGGAAGGCAGATCTTTTCACAGTCCTTCATTAATCATAATAAAATATATTTCCTTCAGTGAAAGCAGCACATGCCTTCATGAGGAGGAACACAATGCCAATTTTGTGGAGTGACGTCTTTTTTCTCCTTTGGTGCAGTTGTGAAAGAAAGGTGACACATAGAGCTTAGTCTAGACTTTAACTCACCACCTAATTTTATCTCCTAGCTGAAATTATTATGATGGAAATGATTATTAATAGTGAACGCTTAAGGAGTGCCAACAGTGGGCTGGGTGCTGCCTGGTAAATGCACATGGGTGAAACATGTAAGAATAGGTCCTGGCACATGGAAGAAGGATTTGAGATTCTTTCCCCATGATTCATCCACTGCCATGGAGCTGTCCACAAAAACACCAAGGCAAACGGAGTTCAGCATGGATTTAGTTTGGGTGCCACTTGGAATTTATGAGTTAATGTTATGAAGTCCACCCACATAGGTTGATCCAAACCCTTTTATCTCATTGAGGATGATAAGCATAGGGAAGAACTGAGAAGACCTCTCCAGGAGGCCAACAGAGCAAATTTCTATAAAATCACGTTCAATAGCATGATGAGTAGGTGCTTGCTGCGAGCAGAGGAACAGCAGAGAAAGGATGAAACCAGAAGAAAAGTAAAACAACACTATCATGGGGAAACTGCTCTGAAAAATGGTGCCTAGAGATAAGGAAAGAATGTCAGCCTGTAGCCTGGGTCCCAAGGAAGGAAGCGGAAACAAGCTGGAAATAAGAGATGAAAGAAGTGGTTCAGAAGCTGTCAAGTCAGAGAGAGGAAGCATTCCCTTCCTATTACCTGGCCAGGTTAACGAAGAAGTACACGTGACAAGAATTGAAGAGAAGAAACATGAGAAATCCATAGCATTGGGGAAGAGGCGGCAATTAATTTCCAGCAATTTTATGCCAAATTTTACATGAGCACGTGCTTTCCTAAGAAGGGAGCCTGCAGCTTTCAGATTCTCAATCTGCTAGATTGTAAACTCCATGCAGGCAGGGACCGTAGCTGTGACTAAATCTCAGCCCCTAGCACAGTAGCTGTACATAGCAAATAATACTATTTTACAGTATTATTTACATAATACTATTTATTCCACAATATTATGGAATAAACCCATCAGTGAATGAGGTCAGAGCCCAACAAAGATTAGGATTACACTGGGTTGGAGGGAGAGTTCTATGTAGAATTAAGATATCAAGAGTCAGAATCCAAGAACGAGTTGAGAATGCTTTCATTCTTGTCCCTTAAAGACCTGATAATAAGAGTGCAGGTGGAGCTGGCCGCGGGCAGCAGCAGTAGACAACATGCACAAACATCACTGAAGGAGGAGGTCAAGCACAACGAATGGAAACCAGAGTCGGGAGCAAGGAAAACCCAACGCTGGGGTCAGCACGGTGGCACTCAGAGGTCAGCAGAGGAAGTGGAACTTTGAGATATAGACAACATAAGGGAGTTACATATTTTCTCTCTGTTGTTTACTACAAATGAGACACAAAACTCAGAAAATGAATTGCATTTAACAACTCAAGGTGATTTTATATTACTGTGAAAATTAATGAGATAATCCCTGTGACAGACCCACTAAAACACAGTATTCCAATCACTTAAAAAATGCATAAAATCATTGGAAAAAATCAGGCCAATATTTTGGCTTTTTGTTTTGTTTCATTTTATGGAAAAATCTAAAGAGAAATCTCCATGCTACTGAAGTTTATCTTCACAAGCAAAATAAAAGAATTTAAAAAGCCAAAGAAAAGAGTTCTTATGATTTCTCAAGGAATCTCTGTCTCAGTACTTGCCTTTCTAACCAATCGCAGTCCTGTCACTTAAGCTCATTAACCCTATTGACAAGCCAATAACACTTCACATACACTCTCAAGAATGTCTCAACCGCCCTGTCACAGTCACAGTCTTTCTGTTAGCTACTCACCTCAAAATGCTGGGTGTGTCCATCCTCTTTTTCATTTTCTTTGCTATAAACAACAGCAACAACAACAAAATATCAAAAATGTCACTCTGTTTTATAACAATGCTGTTCATCCATTAAATTATGATTCCATTTACTTTAAAAGTAGGCTGAGTAGCTCTAAATCAAATTCTTATAAAAATCGAGAACAAACGAAAAAATTATCAGAGTAAAACAAAACTAGAAACACAAACACGAATATGGTTATTTGCCTTTATAGCATCATGGTAGATTTTCTATGCTAAGCATTTTCCTTGCTATAAAATACTGTTAGTAAACATATAGCCCTTAATTCTATTCTTTCAGTTCTCATAAGGCACATTGTATTAAATGAAAAACAAATCTATTCATACTCTTGCAAACGATGCAAGGAGAAAATTCTAAAATTACCTTTCATCGGACATCAGTTCAACATCATCAGGCGCAGTCCTCTCGTGAGAAGGTGGGGAACCGAGACTTTCCATATTCTGTAACAAAACGAATCATTCGTTGCCTAGTCGGAATGGTAAGAAATATGCAACAGACCTTCCTTTCTTTAACATGGAAAAATCAGATGATATGCAGCTATAAATTAATTCTAGTCCTCATATTTCTAGCTTTGTTAAAACTAGTAAAATTATGACAGTTTATTATTTGCTGTGTGCATAAAATTGTATGTTGAACCTTATCATCCCTTTAATGAAGATAACTGACAGCATCATAGGAATGGTCATTGTGCCCCACAACATCCTTGTTAGGTGCTACCGACATTTTACAGCTAAACATAGCAAAACCCAGATTGTAAGAACATCAGGGTGGCATTAGAACTAGAATTGAGGAATCTGACCTCGAATCTCATCAGAAACTGAGATAACATTCATTGCTTATTTAACGTCTTTTCAGTATATACCGCCAATATGATCTGGGGTGATATGTGGCTTATACTTAAGCTGTAAACGATCCATAAAAAGAAATGGAATTAAGAACTTTTCTTTCTCAATATTTAATGTTAATCTTTATATTAGCCAAGACGGAAAAAATATAAATAGAAAACTTAATTTGAATAACTTGTATTTCAGGCTGACTGAGAGGGCCTAACGCTCATCAGGAGGAGTATTTCTAAGAGTTTTTGACTGCCTCTCTGAATATGGCCAATAGTTCCTAAATACAATTCAGATGACTGAGCACCGAACAATTAAGCATCTCCATGAAGAAAGATGACAAATAAGCAAATAAGGGCACATTTACACTCAGCAGACGCAAAAACATAACTGCCTTGGAGATTTGGACCTGAATTTCCTTGAACTCAAAGATTCACATCTGCATTAAAAGGACATTAAGCACAATTCATGTATTCTGGGTCATTGAAACAAAGAACGAACCCATATTGAAGCAACATGTGTACATCTACATATTTATAACCTCCCATTATGAAAAACCCTTTGCAAAGTAAATCGGATTAAGGTTCACAATAATCCCATGAAACTGACATATATAAAAATCTCCACAAAGTGAACATAAAATTAGAGTAGATAACTAATCTTTGGCTTGGTAGATGGATGAATTATTTCCATTTATGTTGGTTTGGCCAACTTGTCTGGAATTCTTAAAGTTTAAAACTTTAGGCTCCATTCAAGAATAGAAACAAAGGGAGATGGCATAACATAATAGTTATAATGATGGCTCTCGAGTCAGAATATTTGAGTTTGAATCCTAGCTCCATCATCTACCAACTGTATGACCCTATTTGACCTTCAGTTTCCTCATCTGGAAAATGGAGATGGGAACAATACTTAACATAGAATGGTCATGAGGATTAAATGAGACAATACACATAAAGCACTAGGATAATACCTGGCACATTTAATGAACGTTAGCTATCATTGTTGATGTTGTTATTATTACTTCTAAAACTATGAAATCCCCAAGAAAAATATTTTAGTACTATCTGTCCAGAGTTAAGACAACGTCCCAGGAATGGGAAATACAGTGTGCGTATCTGCCATTACTGAACATCGACTTAACTGCTTCAATAATTCACACAGATAATTTTAGAATGGATCTGAGAAATAAAAAATAATTATGACAACATTCAACAATATTTACATTTTTAAACCTCTACAGTTTGTTTTAGAAGAGGCCTCTCTAAAATAGCTCTCAGTAAACCAAAGCATAATTGCTCTTATTTCCTGAATGCGATATTCCTGATAAAGAGGGATATATCTATAACAAAGAATCTTTGTTCTCATTGTAATCTTTAATAGATTATCAAAATCTTTAGTGTAAGATCTAGTGCAATAGTATTAGTGTTTCCTAAAGCTCTGAAATATGAATTCCTAGGGAAAGCACAACCCTCTACCTTCAGATCATTTTAAAACAATGGCAAGGAAATACATTTATAATTATATGCAAATGACTATTTCAGAGGAAATAAAAATCTTTACAGTAAGGCTAAGAAATATTCAGAAACAGAGAACAGAAAACAAACCATAATTGCATTAAATTTAAAGATATTTCAGTTAGAAGACGTTAGAAGATTTTCTCCTAAACAGAAAGAACCAAGATAGAATCTAGACAGGTTTTGAGAATTACAGAAAAAATAGAATTATGTTATACAATAGAAGGCTTTGTAAAAAGCAGTTGTGAAATGTGAGAAAGTTTAGCTGATCTCCAGTGTTAAAACAAGCAATAACTTCAGCTCCCTCCCCCACCCCACCTTTTAAAAAATGTTTGATACAAATGTTTAAGAACTCTCCAAGGATGTGAGTTTTTATAGATGTCCTTGACAAAGGGTGACTTTCAATATTGTTCAGTATTCCTCTCTAAGGCTTTAGAAGAATTCCAATTTTCATGTTTTCCTCCACACATTTGAGACTGTTGCATATTCATGGTCTGCTTTCACTAAAGCAGCATATGAGGACACACTGTTCCTTTGCTAAGCTGGTTGGGTTGCCCCTATACGTTTTGGAAACAGGAACAAGTGAAGAATGTGTTACAACTGGCAACCTAACCCAGTTTTTTCAGAATGAAACTAACAAGGGTAGTAAAAGATCTATGAGTACAGTGACAAAAGTTACCTATTTCCATGGGTGCAAAACATTTTATAAATTCAAATTGCCACCCTTTGCCTAAGGTTTAGGGAGGGAAGATTAAGATAAAGAAATAGATCAGCAGTTCCCTACTTCACTGAGATGGGGGAAGGCAAAAATGGAATGTACAGGTCAAAATAACGGCTGAAACGTAAAATGCTTCCATTGTAAGAGAAGTATGTTACCGGACTTTCAAAGCTTCTGTAGTTGTTAATAGTACCTGTCTTATGAGAAAATATCCACTCAATGCCTTTGGAAGGTTTTGAATTGTTTTATTGTCCCAAACACTTCTGCAGATGTGGTGAAAGAGTACCTCATTAATGTTTTTGTTTATTAAAGGTTGAAGTAATAGAATTCCTATAAAAATGTTTTATTGCGTTAGCTTTTATTTTAGTCTTATAAAGTTAGGATCTTTTAAAAGAAATAGGTAATTTTAGGAAATAGCAAAGAACAGATTATGACTTCAATTATAATAAAATTGCTTTTTGAATTGCATTTTTTTAAAAACCAGATAAAACCTATTTTGTAATGCATAAAATTCTGCTTCAGGTAAGTCCTACCAGTGACTTTCAAAACACACAGATTTGCTATGATATAATTTATTTGTGCAATTTTGGGTGTTAGAAGGAACTGAATTTTAAGAACCACCCTCTACAATTATAAAAATAACCTCAAACGTAAAAAGAGCAAAAGCTTTGAAAAAATTAGCTTTGACTGTGGAATGTATTTTCAATTCTTCCCCCTGGCCCACTCTCTGTTTTGGCAGTGAAAGCTAGGCTCAAAAACCTGTTTGACCACTGAAGCACTTGAAAATACTTGGAGCAAAAACAAATTTGTCTTCTAAAACTGTAAAATGTTGACAAAGCCTTTACAGAGGACACTAAAAAAATGCCTTCTCTCAATGTACAAGCAGTTCAGTCTGAGGGCTGCATAGCACACTGATGGTCAAAACAGCCTCATTATTCTAACCTTGAGCTCAAAGCCAAGGAGAATGATATATTCTTATTCACAAGGGATTAAAGGCAGATTTGAGTTTCTTTTTGTACCTTTTGTATACTTTATGTTTTATTGCTTAAAACTGTATAAATTAATCCACTTCAAAACGAACAACTAGTTCTGCAAGCGGATGCCTATGGAAGAGCTTGCTAGCTATCCACCCAAATCCAGTCTACCCTTCTTCCACAGCAGCGAAGTAGCCACATGCCCAGCAACCACACATTTCCCAGCCTCACTTGCAATTGGATATGGCCACATGACTAAAACTTCTCTCCAACAGGATGTGAGAAGTGATGTGTGTGACTTCCAGGTCTGGCCAATACATTGCCCCACTGGGTACATTCCTCCATGTTCGAGCTCTCTTTTTCTGAGCTGGAATGGAGATCAAAACCACCACAGCATCCTAGAAGCTACTGGCTGAAGACGGCAGACAGGCAGTTGGCCTGGGTCCTTGAAAAACTGTGTTGAACAAGTCCTCTACTCCTCTCTCTGGCCCTAACTCCTGTTTTAGATTGTCAAGGGGAAAAGAACATTTACTGTGTTCAAGACATTGCATTTTGGGTCTTTTTGTTAAACAAGTTGACAACCATTCATTCACTCATTTTTTCAACACATTTTTTGCAAGGGCTGAACCATGCTGGGCATTGGGGTACAATAGTGAATCGTGAACCAGATAGACACTGGTCCTTCTCATTATGACTTTTGTATCTTGGTTACTGTTCCAACTGTAGTTTGTCACACTGTGAATATTATCTTCATTTCTAAGATAGGTTCTATCCGAATAGCAATGTTAAACATCAATCGACAAAACATAAAATTCAAAGTGGCCAGCACATTCTTCCCTTACTCAATAGTACATAAAGGAAAGGAATCCTAGATGTGTGCATAAACATGGTGAGATTAAACTTAGAAGAGTCATCACTTTTCTTAGAGGAAAGGTAGGTTGTGGCTGGAACACAGGGATGACCTTTTGTGTTATACAAAGGAGGCAGTGGGGGAAAACTGTTCAAGTTTCCCACGAGATGGGTCTTTAGATCAAAGCAATTTACGATCAAAGCCCTTCAATCTTCTACTCGGTCCATCCCCTATCAATTACTCAAGAATATAGATTCTACAATTGATCCCTTTCTATGGCATCATTTCCCCCTCTCTTTTGGCTTATCTTACTAAAATACTCTGTGATATCACTGCCTTTTAAAAACTGTCTCTTGATCTTGCATTGTCTCCAGCTGCTCTCATTTTCCTTTACCCTATAGAGCAAAACCTGTTCAAAGACTTTCCATACCTACATTACCCAATTCACTTCCTCCTATTTCCTCTTGGACCCATCTAACTAGTCTTTTTCCTCCCTCTTCCCACCAAAATAGCTCCCATCAAGGTAGATATGGGTTTGCTAGATATAG